TAGGGCCAGCGAACTTTGCAACGTGTGCTTTCACCTCGTTATTATTGCCGAGAGTACAAACGCCCCTCTTGTATGTATTTGCAAAGCAGCAGATTTGTCTCTCTCTCTTTGCAAATCGCTCGTGAAGTGAAAGAGGCGGAAAATCTCTCCGATGAGGTCATTCTTGTAATTGTTGTTCCGAGCTGCACTCTTTTTTTTCTAGAGACACGCGCGTGTAAATTCATACTTCATATTTTAGCGGTTGGTTTTTATTTGTTTATTTTTAACGGTATGCAAAAGTCGAGTGGGAAACACTGGCGGTTTATCGGCCGTTGGTTTGTATGCAAAGTGTGGCAAATGAGGCGGAAAAGTGCGTATACAACTGCAAGACTTGCTTGTTTTGCTCCGGATGCTTATTCCAACAAGTTTCTCTACGTCAGGATTTTCAGTTGCATTGTATTTAATTATTTCAATTTTATATGAAACTTTTTTCTGCCTAGCTGTTCCAGAAAAATAATAACTTTAAAATTTAATTTAAAAAGCTTAAATACATTGAACTTGTTAAAAAAAATAGACATTAGTTTATGTAAAAAAATATTTCATTGGTAAAACTATATAAAGCTTCCAAAGGTTTTTCCAACCGCAATTTTTTTCCATTACTTGCATTGCACAGTTGGAGATGAATCTATGGAAAAATTTGTGATTTATTGGACTAGTTTGAGATAAGTTTTTTTTTCAAAAGTTTAGAGATTAATTTTTAGGGGAATTTCTACATTTTGATCTACTCTCAAAAGTATCTGTACATTAAATTGTTAATATCAAATAAGTTTTACATTTTGAGTTTTAAAACTATGAAAAAATGATATAATATAGTAGCCCCCCTGGATATCATCAAAAAGGAACTTGTACATTTTTCATCGTCATGCAAAAAACTTCAAAACCAGTGAAAAAATTTATTGAAATTTAAATTTAATGCAGGAATTTCTTCAAATCCATACACACTTTTATGATCTCAATAATAAATAGCACTCCTCGATTAATGTTTACTTAAACTTATGAATGGAACTTTCCTTATAACGCGCGCTATAACGTGCATAATGTGTACGTGAGTCTGAGTATGATTCATACTCGGGAAGGGAAAGCGTAAACGATCCAAAGCTCAACACTTTTACAAATCCATATGTACAAAGGGAGCCAACAATCTGATGGGTGACAGAACATTTAAGGCTCTCATCTTATCTGTGTAGGAACGGTTGGGGCGTAAATGGCGAAAAGAGAAGCAGAGGCGCGAAGCCATTTGCAACGGAATGTAACATAAGGCGGCAGCTTTTTATTTTCCTTTCCAGCCGTTATTCGTGCTGCTTCATGATCGCAACTCATACAAAACCTAAAATTTCTTTTAAACAATAAAAAAATATCTGTTCTAAAAAAAAAAATCTGCAAGTTACTTCAAAAGTTAAGAATACAAATTTAATTAGATTTTTATAATTTTTTTGTTATAATGAAGTGTAGTGTGTCGTTTAGTCAACTATTTTAAATCGTTGAAATTAAAATCCGTTTTACAAAATTCTTTAATCAAGAGTTTCAATGTATTAACCAATACTTTATTCACGGTATCAGCATTTCAAAAGGAAAAAATTCGTTGCAATTTATACCTGTGGAGGTTAAAAATAAACCATTTTTGCAACCAGGTGTGAAAGAATGTTTTCCGAAGAGTGCTGCTTTAAGAGTTTATTTTTAAGTGTTTTTTGCTCGCGCTGCGAAAACAGGATGACAAATCAGTCTCAGTATGTTTCCTGCTGGCAGATAAAAAATGCGTAAGAGCACAAAGTAGCAGGGCCTACACTTGCATCACGCAAACGGCTCGTCGGGCAAGCCACGGTAAACAAATTCTTCTCTCGATAATACCAGAGAGCGACAAGGCGGCCAGGAATAGATCCGAGGCAACGCAGCCTCCGCTTCGCTGTGCTTCGGCCCAACTATTCCTAAAATTATTTTTAATTCCGCGTGCTCGCGATGATCGCGCGTCAACTAACGCGGGGTGCGCGCGCGTGACCGTCGCGAAAAAATACGACGGGTGCGAATTTTTTTTTCATCGGCGCTCTCCGTGGCGAGCCGCGTGCCGCTTATGCAATCGCCGGTTTTGCTCACCCAGGGATTATTTTCGCACTCGACAGCTGAAAAAAGTTCCATTCGCCGTTTGCCAGGGTTAATGCGCAATTTAATATAGTTTGTATTCAATTTTAGCAAAAATTCATTGTTGAAAATATCAAATTTTTCCGTTTTTCGCCATTTAAATTTCAATATAAGCTCATTTTTAAAACCACGTAAAGCTGATTAAATTGACAAAAATAAACTAAAACAGTAGACTTCATCAACAATTTAAAAAAAGCTGATTTTGCTGAAAACTTTCTTATGTTTACAATCATTTTACTTTTTAATTTATGCAATAAAGTTCAAGAAATCGGGCAAATTTTGGGAGAGAGAAAATCGGCACTATTGCTCAAAATTCTTAACTTCTTTTGGCTCTTAGAGTCTTTGATTCAAAACGTCTCTCTTGATCAAACTTTTTACTTTCTCCGAGTATATTATCTCTATATTTATTCTCGTTTTATTTTCATTCACGCGCCTGCGGTCTCTTTTTTTGCGATCACATTCGCGCCAGAGCAGACACCTGAGCGCCTTTTTATGCAGGTTGCTTGGGTGTTTTGCACTCTTGGCGAAATGCTCGAAGAAAAGGTCAAATATAAAAAGTTTCCCACACACAAAAAAACGTGTTTTATGAGATATTCAGTAAAATTTTACATTCGACAAAGTTGTAAAATGTTAAGCTTAAAAATAAAAATAAATAACTTCTGGTTTTAAATAATTTAGGTTTATTAATAAAGATTGGGAAGGTTCAAACGTTTAAATTAACTGTTTCCTTTAAAACCTCACGCCATATTCAATTCCCAATGAAATGAATTAATAGGAAAATATTTTCTTAATATTTATATACATATAAATAAGAAAGTTATTTTGATAACAAAATTAGACCGAGTCAATTGGCCGCTCTTATTTTAAATTTTACAGCAGAATGTTTACTAGACAGTATTGTCTTAATTTGTTTAAATGATAGACATTAGAAGTTAAATTTAAAAGTGAATGGAGATTAAAAAAATAAATAAAGCCACCAAATATTTGGTTAAACCTAAAACTGACCACAATAACAAACACCCAAGCCAGAGGAAGCTTCTAGAAAATAACTTAACCAGTTTATTGCTATAAAAATAAAACTTGAGGGAAAATAATTATATATTATTTAAAACAAAAAAAATTTCTTGCTACCTGCGGTTTTTGAGCTTTTATTTATTTCAATTTCAACCAATGACGAAATGTTTCAAGTTTCAACTATTTTGCAGCGCTATAGCAATCGGCTGTGTTTGAATTTGATTGTGATGAGTCAGCCCGGCCTCTGCAATGAGCAATGTGCGCGTCGAATAGAAGGGTTTATTTTGATCTGTGCTGCCTGACCTTAGACCAGGTCTGTTTTTAGCGGCAGCCGGCGCAGCCAGCGTTTTGAAAGTTCTTTTACCTTTGGCCTAAGGCTTTTGTGCCGCCTGCATTTCAATACAGAGACTCGCTAAGCGATATATAATGCAATACACGCGCGTGCGGCGGTGGCGACTCGGCAGTTTCCAGCAAATAGCGCCGCTTTCACTCTTGATTATGGTTGTTTTGGTGACCAAATATGGTTTCATTTATATTTCAAGTGAATATAAATGTGAGCAAGCTGTAAGTTTGCAGCAGAGTTCAACTCAACGGTGTAACTTTTTGTTTCATATAAATATCGTCGAAAAAGAAAATTATTTTTGGAATAAAAATTGAATTGCAAATAAACCTTGAAGGATTTTCTTCGGCTGCAAATTGAAAAAGAAAGTAATTGATGAGAAAAACAAACATTTTCGGTTAATTTTACTTCAAATAGCGGGATACTTCTAAAAATTTGATGCTCAACTTGTAATTTTTTTAGTGGGATAGATAAAAAAATTATAGTTCTCAAAGATTTTATTAGTAGATAATAGATATTAAAACAGATCAATTCACCCAGGGAAGAGTATTTAAAAGCAGATTTCTTGGGAAATTTAATACTTTAGGCTATAAATCCTAACAATTTAAATTTGGATTTGAAGAAGAAAAAATTGACAAAATTTTAAACTTCACACAGTTTTATCAAAATAGCACTTACAAATTTAAAAAATATTGAGAACAGAAAAAAAATTATTGAATTTAAAAAAAATAATAATAATAATTTTATGCTAGCAAAATTAAAACTTCATTGTTAAATTTGCTTAGGAATAATTTGATCATGATCCAACCATAAAAATTGATAGTCCTTAAAATTTCTCTAAAAGAAAAGAAAAAACATAAATAAATAAAAATAGAAAATCTTGAAACATTTTGTGCAGTTCACACGTTCACAGGCAGCTGTGACTTTGTGTGGCTCTTGATATGTACATAGTATCGTTTGTTGGCCCTTTTTTAAATTATTTTTCTTCTGTTTAAAATTTATTTTCATATTCCTCTTTTTCTTTTGCTTGGGAGCTAATTTTAAGTTGAACAATTTGTTTTTCTTGAGCTTCCTTAAAAAAAACTTAATCAAAAGCCTTCTTCTTTATTTTCTTTGGCACACCCTTGCCCTTAAATCAGTCCAACGAGCTACTTCATTCAGAGCTTAACATCGCAAAAAAGGCATCAAAACGCTACTCCTCTTATTTTCTCCACTGGCGCGCTAACAAGACAAAGAAGTGGCAGGTTCAACGAACCAAATCAAGCAGCACTCGTGTTTACAAATCAATTTCCTGGCTGGTGCAACGACACTCCTTCCCCGTGTGCATCATACCGTCCATTGATTAAACTTTATATCACTTTATATAACAACTCGCTGCATTTAGATATTTTTGTTTGTCCTCGACGGTCAGAGGACGATAAGAGGCGCGCAATTAAAAAGGGTGAGGAAATGAGTAGAGTAGACAACTGACCTGTCTGAAGACTTCCTCGGCGTCCGTGCAGTACACGTTGTGCGTGTCGCCGCCCTGCAGAAGAACCACCGAGGCCCCGGTGACGCCGGCCGCCGCTCGGAGACGGGCCAAGAGCCGGGCCCGATTTTCGGCAAACATGGTCATCGGGACCGCCAGCGTGTGCTGGCCCTTTTCGTACACAGGTCTGAAGCATAAAACACGAAGAAAAAATTATTAAAAATAAAAAGTTTAAATTTTTAAGTGCATTTTTGTCCAACAATTCTTGGTGTCCTTTCAAACAATATTATTTTATTTACTGGCTGAAGCGAAATTTTGGGTTTATTTGCATAGTCAAGAACAACAAAATAATTTTTTTGCGATTATTATTGCAAGATAATGAATGAAAATTTTAGCTGAAACATTTAATCACCATTATTGTAAGAGCCATTCTCCATTCACTCTCCTTCTTGAATCTTCTCTTGTAATTTCATTTGCGTTTTTTATTTGATATTGGTGTATCGATTTTATACAAGGTATTTTGTGTGATTTCAATGTATTTACACGGAGAATAAATAAATAAATAAAGACTTTCTATGAATGTGTTAAGTTTGGAATCTTTAAAAAAGTACAAAATCAAGGTAGAATTATGAATGAAATAATAGGATTCAAAAATGACAAAATGACATAAAATCCTTTTAATTTAAAAAAATAATAATAAATAAAAAATATTACAGCATATATTCTTTTAAAATGTTAATTATTTTTATCAAATTATTTCAATTATAAAATGAGATAATAATAAAAATTTAGAACATTAGGCTTTAACCTTTAAAAGTGCAAAACTTGAGTCAAGTAGTTTATTTATTTAGACCAATGGCGGCCTTCAATTTCAAAGATAACAAAATTTAATTGTGTTGTTGCATCATTTTTAATTGCGAGCCATCTTCACTACTCCGCACCACACGTGTAAGGTGTAAAATAATCCTTATCATTCTTATCATATTTTATCTAGAAATAAGATTTGTTAAATTTTCTGTATTTACATAAAAAAAATTTTTATTAATTTTATTTTTTTTATTCTAAGACAATCCGAGGCAAAAATTTAATTTTCAACTTGAATTTAAGACGCATATGGCACCGATTTAAGCCACGAATGGCAAACATTGGAATGTAAGCAGTTCTTTGATCTCTGTGATGATGTCAAAGTCAGCTGCTTGGGAGCGACTCATCGCAACTCGACAAATTCAGTCTGGCCGGCCGCTAATTAGCCCCGTTCCTCGGTGCTCGTCGGCGCCGAACAAAGAAAATTTATTGCCGCGAACGTGTGCGGATTTTCAGAACGAATCGACTGCGCTGAACCGAGATTTCCGGCGAAATAATCGTAAAAAAGTTATCTCACCTAATGTTGTTGCCGGCCATCTTTCGCGTTTCTCCTGACGGACCAATCAGCGTGCAAGATCGGAGAGCGCGAGCTTTCGAATGCAAGAATGTGCCAGAGACGGTGCTGGGGACGAGCAAAGAGCAGGAAAGGAGTGCCGGCTGCACCAGATCCACCCATAATTTATAATTGGCTCGATAAGTTATTATTTGTCCATTTGACTGATAGGAATTCTTGTTTACATGATTTTATCTGTTCGGTGGCCTTATTGATAAATAAATAAAAGGGTGGTGTGATTTCATTTTTAATAATTTAAGTTTTTTATTGTTTTTGTCGAGTTTCTTCCTTTTACAACATAGGAAAATTATATATTATCTTATATATCGTCATCATTTTACATAATATTATTGAAAATGCATTAAAACATGCAAACAAATTAGTCATCATCTCAAATAGTTTCTCTTATTGTTTCCAAAGCATATCCACTTTTTCATTGCGACAAACGAAAAAAATGAATTTGCATAATTTCTCTCACATTATTTTTATCTATATATATCCTATATGGTACAGTTTATATGATTTGAACAGTCATTGTGAATATTTTAATCGATTCTCACAACAGGAAAGAAGTGTAGTAGTATCTTACTTTTTCCCAACCGTCAATTTTTTTTAGTTCATGATATTATGTGACACCTGCCTGCTTTTTCTCTTCCTCTCTACAATAATGATAATAATTACCACTCACAATCAGTTCTAGAGAATTCCAATGTTAAGTATTCACATCAATGAGAGAGTAGTAGTTCGAATGTGACGTCATACAAGCCACTCGAGAGAAAAATAAACACCATGTTACAATTCCATTCAATATATTGTATACAACGCACGAAAACACCACTGCTTCTTGACTAAAAAGTTTAAATCCTCCTCTACCAAACTGCAAACATCGTCCGAACTCCTTCTTCCTTTTTTATCCGTTTCACTAGCGTTAATTATCAAGATGACCGATTAAAAAAAAAATACTGCCGATCCACTCGTTAGATTTTTTTACGATGAGAAATGCAAGTGGAGAGATTGTGTGAGAAAAATAAATATGATACACTAGATCGATCTCGGAACAGCATCAACAAAGAATTGTGTCGCACGGCGAGCCCTTCTTCTTCTTCTGAATTTTTGGTGTTCAAATAAAATTCTACTAACTATCACAGGTGGCGAACTTGGCCGACGGAGGGAACTCGGTGGTGGTTGACTCGTCCGAGTCGTCGTAGTAGTAGCGCTGTTTGGGCGACAGGCCGATCTTGAGCCTGCGGACGGCCTCCTTGATGAGGCTGCCGTCTCGCAGCAGCTCCTGCAGTCTCTCGTACGGGTCTTCAGAGGAGGCCGGGCCCTGGCCCGTCCTGCTTTTCCTTCGGCACAAGCACTTTTCCTTGCAGGTGCAGTTGGGGCCGAAGGACGTGGGGTAGGGGGAGGCCCTGCTGAGCCGCCGGGACGACGAGTGGCCGCTCGGCCGATGCTTGAAGCCCGATAACCTGAGATTCTCCTTGATCTCGCACACCAGCTGCTCCATGTCCTGCGAGAGGAAGGCGGCCGTGGCCGCCGCTTCGACGCGCATCGCCGGGTGTTCGGCAGGTTCAGCCGTGTTCTCCGCAAGGGGGTACGACGTGGACAGCATCAACTGCTCCTTGCTCGGCATTTTTCTGTCTGTGAGGAGTGAACGTGCACGCTGAGGTGTTTACTCGGCTCCTCTCGATCGTTCAATGGAAAAGTACGGTGCCCAGGCAAGTAGTTCTGTGATGGGGAGCGCTATAGACAAAATATTGCGCGTGTGAAAGTAGTGCCGCCAAGTTTTCAGCTGGCATCGCACCCCAATGACTCTAACCTGGTTCTAAACCACTTTAGTCTCTTTATCTGTTTGATTTAGATGCGTTTCGTTCACAATTGTGGCCACGAATGAGAATATTCGACATGTAAACAGAAGAATTCAATAGAGCTTTAAAGGAGGCACGGCGCAGGAATACCCTCAAGGTTACTACAGCAGCACCACCAACAAACATCGCATGACGTATACATTTATAATGGCGGATGTTTGTTTGGGTTCATTCCGCAAAGTGGGGGAGAGAGGCAAGTGCGCGCCGAGCTCGTCATATCTAATTAGCAATAAAATCACCACCCAGACGTGTTTTTTAGTCGACCCAGAAAAAATTACTCAAATCAATACCGATTTTGAGGTAGAACGAAAGTAATTAATTTTAAAATGCGAAAGATTTTACGGATTTTACCTTTATTCAGCATTGTTATCGGCAGTTTGCACCAAATGACGCGATGAAAAATGACAAAAATCAGTCATTCGTGTGCTCAAAATTTCGGATAGAATTGTACAATGAAATAAACAATTTGCGCGTTTAAAACCATCATTGAGAATGTTATGTAAATTTTATTAACATCACTGGAAAATATTGCATTAAAATAGACAATCAATCAACTCATTTACACATTTCTTCAGACAAAAGCAAACACAATTTTTATTTAATTTCTGGTGACATTTTTTAACGTTGTAATGTGTGATTGGCGTTTATGTAGTGGTAGAGGATGACCAGAAGGAAGATGGTGACTCCTAAGACGTTGGCGAAAATCGCCAGCTGCACGTCGGAAATCATTTTCTGCAAAATTAGACGTAACAATGAGGACTTAAAATTATGTAAGCAAAGAAAATCGCAGCATAATTGTTACGCAAGTGGTGTAAATTATATAAGAGGGCAAATCGATAACCTCGTAAGACCCTATATAAGTTATAAGATAAAGTTATTTTTATTCCCTAATCATTGTTATCTGATATATCATACACTTAAAACTTAATGAGACAAGCACATTGTATGTAATTGAACGCAACTGTGGGACTTATTAGTTCAGTGAGCGATATATTAGTTGAGGCTCTTATTAGTGGTTTTAATTAAATTAAGATTATTTTTAGTATTTTCATTACAAAGACACACAATAATTTATGCATCAATATAAAATTTGAGTTTTCTAAAATAAGCAATGAAATATTGTGGCCTATAAACAATTATTATGTATTTCTTTAATTTTATTTTCAAATAAAATTGATATAAAAAATAAAAAACTTCTCAAATAAACTGAAACGTCAATATTTAATTCTTAGATGCATAAGATAAATTTTCTACTAAAAAAATTTGAATAAAATAGTCAAATTCATTCAATTGTGTATTACGGAATGTGATGAGAAAAGTACATACAAAATTTGTTCTGAAGACCATCCGGAAAGACTATTTTTATTTTTTTTTTTTATTTTTTTACAGCTAATAAAACTGCATTCCAAATTTTTGAAACATAATGATCCGATTTTGTGCGCTTTTAATGGCCCAAAATATACTGAGTGTGCTGATCCGTTAGATGTTTTAGCATTAAATTATGTAACCAGTAAAATTTCAGATCTCGGGCATCTCGGCTCTCATTATAAAAATCTAGCTCTAAATACTCTACATAATATGTATTTTGTTTAATGTTTAATTTAAAAATGAGGGACTGAATTTTATTTCCAAAGTGTTTTTTTAAAGCAAAAACATTAGCAAGAAGAGAAAACTGAATAAGTTAAAAACACAAATAAAACGCCGGGTTACGTGGAATCCTGGGAGACCTGGCCGCAATTTACGGAAAATGCCCATTTGAAAACTACGAAAATTAATCCGAGGGCATACCCGTGGAAAAATTTGTATAAATTCTTTCATTTGACCTCTTTACTCACCTAGGAATGCAAAATTTCGGTATAATTTTAGCAAAAGCCGAAAATTGATGCGTGGCTTTCGTCAGCTGCTGATCTCCAACAAAACAAATGAAATTTCCATCTCCAATTTGTATTTCCTGGCCATCTAGCGGCGAGCGCAAGAAGTGTTCATAGGGAATAAAATCTACGTCGCACTTTGAAAGTTATATTTTAGAACGCAATAAAGTTTCAAGTGAGCCATTTCACATTCCTTGGAATTAAAAAGTTATTGTTTATTCCCATTAACGACTCCTGTTTTATTTCATCTAATCAGTCAAAATACAAAATTATAAACATATTATTTTTAGCAAATAAGAATTAAGGTGTGGTTAATTTCGTAAATCAAATCAGACGATTGATGTTCAGGTCGCTTTTAATAATTTTCAACAATTACAATTTACTGTATTTAAGATTAAAATTAGAAGTTTCGGTGATTATTAGTCGATTATTATTCCATTCAGTTGTGCAGCAAACATTTGTCAACCAATATCCTAATGATTTCTCCGGAGTAACATTTTTTGCAAGATTTTTATTTCCACTACAGGAATGTAAAAAAATGTTCCAAAAAATATTAGTCGGCTTTCTGGTACTTTGATCACAGAAACACGGAAGGGCCAGCCTATGAATTTACGCCTACCATCCTCTTGTAAATCATAGAAAAAATAAATGCCTTTGCAAGGCACTTATGCAGATTTTGAAATACAGCGTTTAATTTGAAATGAGTGTGATCTGATTTGAGTAGGTGGGATCGAGTCGCCGGCACAACAAGAATTGCCGGACGCTCAGGTTCGGATGTATCACTAAATTAAGCCTCTTTTATCGCTTGGGTTGTAAAAAAAAATGTGGTACAAAAATGACGAGGTAGGACTACGGATTAGTGAAAATTATCAAAAGACGGCGCTGCTTTTTCAAATCCCTCTCGGCAATTTCAGAATCAAGAAGAATAAAATTAACACTTTTCATATGTTGGTTATTGGCACAAAAATTTGTTCGTGTCTGCAATGGTGACGGCAAATTTTCTCCCCCTCTCTCAAACTCTGGTGCCGTACATGATTCTCAAGAAATACATTTATTTAATTATACGTCTACTCCTCAACTCAATGTCCCACTTAAATTATAAAGAAGAAAAACTGAAATGAATCATCAATCGTGAAGCTCTGCCTAATCGCGCTGAACGAATGCTCTGAAGGTGTACATGTTGAAAACTATGCGCGTACTTGAAGTGTGGATTTTGTCGTGGTAGTTGCTAGTGGATGACCCGTGCTGGGCAGGCTTCGCGGATGCTTTATGCAAAACTCCTCACCTCGCAGCTCTCAGGCAGCAGCACCTAGAACAAAAATACAAATTTCAGAATGATTGAAAAGATATTTTGGTTTTTGTGTGTGACCAAGACCTGTCCTCATGAAATAAAAGCTCCTTATCTTAATTTACTATTAGTCATTTTTTCTTTTTTTTTTTTTTATTAAGTGTCCTTGTCGGAGTTCTCTCATCAAAGCAAATAATGAGGCCAGCTAATGAAATCAGATATGCGGCTGATAACTGTACTGACTGCTCGAGTAAATAATTCATAAAGGTAATCAACACCGCGAGTCGATCGAGTTTTAAACTCGGGACGGATGAGAGAATTGAAAAGTTAATTGGCCGAACAAGGTCATGTGACCGCAAGACGGTGACGTCACTGGTGAGACGCGCCAAGATTCACAAATTTCTGCCCGACAACGTCCCCAAGAGCCCCCAACAATGGGCAACAATGCGGGCCGACGGAATTCGCGAACAATGCACGCCTCGCGGTTCGACGCTCGACGGCGCGAGATGTGTCACGACGGACATTTCCCGCAAAGTAGCTGCATTTTAGATTTCAAGATGGAGGTGCAGCAAAACGTGCGGATAATCGTGCGTGCACAAACGTGTCTCAGCAAGTCTACGTGCAGATTCCTCACGCCTCAATTCGAATAACCAACTTTCCACCCCCCGAACACGTTCGAAAGGAGCAAATTTGGCCAAAAATGACGCAATAAAACCGAGAATCCTGAAATTTTTAGTGTCCGAAATTTTAAGAGGATTTTTTATGTACCTTTCTCCTTGCATTCGCGGCTGAAGTGTCCGGTCTTGCCGCACTGGTAGCAGACCCTGTTGCTCTGCTCCTTGCAGTCACGGGCCATGTGGCCGACCTGGTTGCAATTGTAGCAGGACTGGTCGCGGTAGCCGCCTCCGCTGCCGCCGCCGCCACCACCACCGCCTCCGCGTCCGCCGCCGAAGTCGCTGCCGCCCGACCCGCTCTGGGTGCACTCCTTGGCGATGTGTCCGACTCCGTTGCAGCGGTAGCAACGGTCCTGATCCTCAGTGCATTCGCGAGCAAAGTGGCCGAAGCGGTTGCACTTGTAGCACTTGCCTCCGCCGCGGCTCTCCCTGCTGTCCATGCGACGGTCGCCGCCGCCGTCCTTGGTGCACTCGCGGGCGAAGTGTCCCACGCTGTTGCATCTGTAGCAAACCGTGGCGCTCATCTTGGACACCTTTAGGGTTGCAATCCAAGAGAAATATGAGTGAATTGCGTTTCTTCTGCCTTCGGAAGCGTTCACGTGGCCGCAGGAAAACAAAAGTGGTTAGAGTCACGATGCCAGCGCCACTGGAGGGGGTGCGGCTGCTCTTGCACACCACTTTTCTGTGCGCGAAACACGGCGTTTTTTCATGGAATATTGGGGCTGGGTGCAAAAGCGCGACTCGAATTTTGTTCTAGGTGTAGTGGTGACGCGCAGCCAATCAGCGAGTCGCTTCCTCACCGCGAACGCTCCGATTTGCCGGTTCACCCACGTGGCCATGATAAGGAAAATACGAAAACAAGATAAATTTATAAATATAATACATACAAAATTTATATTTTTGTTGAATACGTATTCATTATTTTTAACCACACCTATTTACTTAAAACTCTTAAGTGTTATGATGAGATTTTTAAATAACCACTTCATGAATTTATAAATACAAATGCGTCAGTTCTGTTAAAGAAATTCAAAATCATGTTTTTAATCATCAAAAGTTCAAATAAATAAAACCCTCAAGTCCAATGACTTTAATAACATATAAAATTCGTGGAGATAAAATCAAGTTGTTTCGGAAAGTATGTCCTCTATACTCGGATCTTCATCAGGAAGTGGCGAGGTGGTGCTTTCGAGAAAATTCCGAAGTTCCTGGTCGAAATCAGCAACATCCAGTTCAGAGGTGTCACCCTTGTCCTTAGCTTTGTCATTCTTTCCCTTTCCTCTTTTATCCACAGTTGGGAACGGTTCCAGGTCAATTCCGATCGCCTTTCGAATGGACGACTGGGGAGTTATTAATTCTGGAGATACTTGCTTTGCCAAATCAGTCAAATTATCGGTGATTTTCTCCGCTGCACAAATTTTTTTTAATTAGAAATTTTTGGCTAGTGTTTCAATTGCATACCTAATTGCACTTCATTCTCAGAGGGACCTGGCAGAAGAGCCAAATGGGCAGGTACAGGCTGAGACAATCGGGCGTGTTGGACTTTTTGTAGTTGCCCGATGAGTTGCGAAGTTTGATCAAGAGAGGCTTGGACAGCATCGGCAGTCAAAATAACTGGTTTTGAGGGTTCTGTTGGAATTTCTATATTTCAAAAGAGGCCAATTAAAATTTAACACTCTGACAAAATTAATTTGTAGTTACCAAGACTGTCAAGGAAATTCATATCAATTCCAAGATCCGAAAGTCCCTTTAGAGCGTTCACATCAACCTCCACCTTTGCAGGTTTTGTAAGGTCAGCTTCAACTTTTCTGTTAACAGGAATAAAATAATTCAGATTTAAGGTTTTTGTATAATATTATTGTCTTCCTACGTTGGTTCAGGAGGAGTGGGTGCAGGTGGAGGCTTTTGTCTTGCAGGAAGTTGGGCCACCGTTTTTGAGTGTTCGCCTCCAGTAAGAATATCTAACAGCTCGTCCACCATGTGAAGCGCATAATCACTGTCTCGGGCAAAGTCGAGAATGCTGTGGGGATTTTAAATCAGTTTTAACAACATGCCTGAAATAAGATATCAACCTTTCTGCATACTGATATCCAGCCTCATCGCCGTAAGTTTGATAGACCAACTCGGACTCTTCTTTTGTTAAATTGGCAAACGTTGAATCATACGAAGGGGCATACGATCCAAAAGCACCATAATACAAAGGTTTGACTGCAATTAAATTTTAGAAAAAAATAAAAGAAAAATCTCTTCGTCATTATACAATTACCAAGCTTGGCATAATTTCTTTTATCTTCTCTGAATCCAGCCAGCTGACCAGTTCCATGAGGAATCTTCCCAGCAAGTGAGCCTAATGTTATGGGCTGTTCATTGGTTCCTGGAAGAACACCACTGTTCCCGCAAAGAATGGCCAGAGACGTTGACCCATCTTTATTTGTTCTCAGGAAGCCCATCTAAACATTCTAATTTACTTTCCGAAGCAAGAAATAAACCTAGATAAAATTACTTTGCTGTATGGTTTTGCCAGCGCTAGTTTCTGAGCTGCATTTTGCGCTGCTTTTTGGGCTTGGGCGAGAATTTCCTCTGGCGTCAGATCATCTGGAATTGCTTCAAATTTGGTTCTAAAAAAAATTTTTTTATCAAAAGCTGTAAAAAAAATCAAATCTTTTCTTCTTACAATGGTCGATGAGGTTTCGATCTTCGCTTAGAATCTTTTTTCGGTTCCTCTCCCTGTGATACCGACTGATCACCACTAGGTTGTGCAGCAACCAAACTTGCCTCGCCATTATCTAAGATGACTGTTTCACTTGCACCTTCGATTTTAGCCGCTGCATTTGCTTCAGAGATTTTCTGCAGCTGTTCAATTATAAAATTATTCCTATTTCTAGATGTAGTAAATAATTTAGGACCTCTTCAGGAGTATGCATTTCAAATCCAAGTTCAGCAACTGTGCATTCGTACAGGCTGGGCAGTGTGGGGGCCATGGCTTTGAGTTTGTCTCTGGTCAAAATTTTCATGCCTCCGTGCAAAAGTCGTTTAGCTGCCCTGTAATAGACTGTTTCTTGCTGGTTATAGGTCATTGCATTAGTGCACATCAATTTGAAGTCATCCTAAAACAGCCATGAATAACAAAATCTGATGTTAAATCTAAAAAGAGCTCACAATGAAATCCGGCAAATTAGTGTAGACACCTTCCTCGATTTTTTGCCTCATAGTGCTGAAATCCATTGGCTGACTGATGATCGAACTGTATCCTGGAGCAATGTTATCGGTCACAGGCCAAGCAAAGAAACTTTGATTGTCTTTTTTCTCCAAATTCTACAGAAAATAACTTAATATGATTTTCTATGATTCACACAAATTCTACCTTTAGAAGATTGTCCAAAACTTTGTGCAGAGGCGAGTTCTCTTGACGCTGCCTCAAAACACAAGTACGAGGCTCTCGTCCTGCACTGTCAATGTCCTCAGCACTCTGATCGACTGCATTTAAATTAATTGGAATAGGCGTGATTAGTGTAGGCTTCTTTGCAGGGATTTCTGCAGCAGAGTCGTCTCCGAGACTAATGTCGTCCTGGCTTGACTCCTCTCTAGGCCGTTTCTTTTTTTCCTTTGATAAAAAAAAATGAATTATTTAAATTCAAGTTTATTGATTTTACTTTGTGGTGGTGCTTGTGCTTTTTTTCGTGCCTGTCCCTGTCTTTTTCCTTCTTCTTCTTTTTCTTTTTGGCCTTTTTGTGTTTGGTGCCGTCGCTAGTAATATCAAGCGGAGAAACTCCCAAAAGAGAGGCGGATGATTCATCTGGATCCAAACCACCAAAGGTTCCTAATGAAGGGCCTGGCGAATCACTGTGTTCTGGAGTTGAGCACCCACCGCCTACTTTTAAAATTAATTTCAAAGCCGGAGGTTTATTGTCATCTGAAAAAATTAAATGATTTAAGAAAAATTTCATCATTTTTTCTCAAAGAATCTAGCAGACTTTGAGCCATATACGCACCATACGATAATAATCCATAGATTAAAGGCAAGCATGGAAATATTAGGGTTTACATTAATTACAGGAATTAAAGCAAAAAGAGTTAACAAACAGGTTAATTTAAAGATTTTGGGTTTCTACTGCAACAAGCGCTACACATAAGTGCAGACTTTACGTGGCTGATTTTACCTTCGTGCCGCTCTCTCCGCTCACTTTTATGCTTCTTGTGTTTCTTCATGTCTAGAAGAAGCCGAACTGTAAATGCGAGAGGTTGCAAACTCGAAATTCAACCGCAAATCGGTAAAATTCTCTCTTTGTTTATTTGCCGCTGAGACGAGCACTCTAGATCGGAATTCGGAATCGGACGCCGAGGCCGCCGAGCACGAAAGCAACGCGCTGATTGGTTGAGCGAGCGGCGCAGCTTCGTCTCAGCCAATCAGAAGCGTCAGGGAGCGGTTAAGGCGCGAAAACTTATTTTACTTACGCAGTGGCGAGGCGTGCGTGATATATAAAGCTACCTTCCTGAATTTTAATTAAAATTTAGTTTTGTTGATAAAACTAGATCTGGCTGTATGGTGCCAAAAACTACAACAACAACAGCGTGGACACTACTTTGACATCTGATTTTCTCAAGGATCTTGGATTAAATTTATAAATAAAAGCGAATAAAAGATCGAAAAGATCCTTGGTTTTTCTAATAAAATTGGCCGAGCTTAAAAATTATGTGATTTTTTTTGTCGTTAAAAATTAAGTCCAGTCCCAATGGAATGCTGGTTTTTCCCGCCGCTAGGTATGAATGGTACGAATGCTGTTCAAGCAGCGCATATGTTGTACGCAAAGTCGCAAACGCGTTTAAAAAGAAAAGAAAAATATTATGAAAAAGCATCATACTTTTCACACCGTAAATGAATTAAAAATTGTATAGTTTCAAGCCATTAAAGGATTTCTAAATATTTATAATAAAAATAGGCAAAACAAATTTAATATTACACAATTTTAGAATAATTTTATTATTATGTTAATTATCTTCATTAAATGATGTAAAAATAGATGAAAAATTTTTACTTTTGAAAAGTATAAGCAGTATAATGATTATACCCCCTCTCCCCCGGTGTCTTTTTCAGTTATAAAAATTTTAAAATTTAACAGGAATTTCTGGCTGGAATGGTTTGTTTTTAAAATGTTTCAACTGTTGTAAAAATTCTCTTTGTTGAATAGAATGATTTCTGCGATTTATATTATTATTATTCAATAATCATTGTTGGTATCATTTTTTTGAAGAGATCTCTTCTAAACATAGATTATAATTTTTGATCAGCGTATTTCTGCTTTAAAGCGATAATCTAAACTTAATAAGCCAATGGAAGCGTCAAAAGTGCAGGAAAACAGAAAAGGCGAAAATGAACTTCCGAGACCGGCTGCTGCCGGTGATGACAGGACTTTGGATTCAGTGATGGCCTGGATTCCTCTGACTCCAACGTCGTTGGAAACCAACTCGAGCACCGGAGTCGAGTGGCTTAAGAGGAACAACCAGAGGTGCGAGTCGTGCGTCTCAAAAGGCAAGTGTTGCCAAAGGAAATTCAAGTACCCTTGCGCTGCCGACTGCGAGTGCTCCTGGATCGCAGCCTGGTGCAACCTGACCTTGACCGATGACCTCCGCAGGGCAAGTGATTCACAACTTAAAAAATGTATGACTTACTAATAAAAAAATTTGAAACAGGAAAATGAAACAAGGGTCAAGCATGAGAAAAAGTTTCCTCCAAAGCCGCGGGTCTCTGTTGATCAGAAATATGTGAGCGCTTGGCAGGAAAAGCCCATCGTGATTAGGAATCGCCAAAAATGGCATTCCATGAAGAAATCAAGTCTGCAGCCTCCGAGTAGTGACAGAGGTGTAAATTACGAGTGGCAAGGCTGGGACCATTACGACAGTAAGATAAATTTCCTCTACTGTAGTTTGCATTTTTATTTTTAAATTTTGCTAGACTTCGAAACAACATCTTCAAATTATGGCAGTCAAACTCAAAATCAAGGAAATTCAGACAGTCGGGCTAAGAGGCCGTCCGATGATGTGAATTAATGGGATAGCCAAGACGAGACCCGACAAATTAATTTAAGTTCATTGTGTATACTAATTTTTTAATTAAAAAGATAATGCTAATATGTCTGACATGCTTTTACATATACTTTCTGGACTTGTTAGGTTTCCTATTACTTCTGGGCTCTGACTTAGGATACCAAATGTGCTTGGTTGTGTATGTGAGGGCCTTCAACTCTTGAATCACCGCTTCGTCGGGGGTTCTACCCTGCAGCACTCTCAAGTCAACTCTTTTCAAAACACCTTCGTCCTCTTCCATTTCCTCTGTTAATGGTTTCGTATGCTCATATCTGCAAAAAATTATTTATTAACAAATTAAAAAGCGAAACTTAATTTTGAAATATCCTACAAAATATGAAGGTTATTTTTATCTTGAATTTTTTAATCTTTAATAAAACAGGGACATTTATTATGTTATAAAAATTATAATACTTAGAAGTTTTGATTTTTTTGCGTACTTAATTGGCTGTCTAGGGTGCCAGCAGGCAACGTAGTTTTGCGAAGGGTTGTCCACAACTCGGTGCTCGTAGTACGACTCGTCTTTGACGTCGCTGGACGAGTTTCGGACAGAAATTCTCCTCGCCGCTGCTCCGGACACTCTGTTCAGATTTGCCCGCAGCGATGCGAGATGTCTCAAAGACATTTTCCAACCTTATTCAGTGAGACTCGGGCAAAAATTTCAGGTCAATCGTCCTGCTTTGGTCCTGCTCGTTTTGTTTACATGTGATGTTGCATGTGATTTCTGATTTCCAGACAGGCGATGTGCACTTGTTTTCTGCTGTTTTTGCAGAGCCGGCGCGGGAAAAGCGTCTTAGAATTGAAAGCAAATAGGCAACCTGCTGGACAGCAATGTTTTGCTGATGGCATAAATCGATATTTAACAGGGGATGAGAGGTGCAACTGAAGACGAACATTTATAAATTTAGTTTTTGTTTCTTAGCTTTTCTGAAATTTATTGTCTTTTATTCTATAATATTTTAATTTTCATGAAATTTGTTTGCGTTAAGAAGATTAATAATAGAAAATGTTTTACCCTGGTTCTACCTTGATCTTTTAATACACTTGCTCAATAATACCTTTTTTGTAAGAAATTATTAAAAATGTATCTGCATAGAAAACTCGTTTTAACATAATTTGATTTTACTATTTTTCAAATTAAATTGATTAAATTTAATAAAATTTCTTGATTATTTTGGTAAACTTATTTTTTTTCTTCATAAAAATTATAGCTGAATTTTTAACAAACCCAGAATTTATTGGAGCATGGAACTTAAATTTGAAGCGTATAAAGGTGGTGTGAAGTTGTGAAAAATTTGATGTTTAAAAAATCTGGAAAAAATTTCTCTACTTCTAATTTATAAATTCTTAAAGGACAATCGAAGTTATTTTAATGATATGTAGTTATTTGTGACTTATTAATCTTATTATTAGAAATAATTAGTAGCGTTACGATTATTACTGCAAGCCCCTGTTCACCCTGTTTTACATCTAGACTGTGTTTGTTAAAAAATTAAAACTCTGATAAAAAAAAAAATGCTCAACAAATTTGCTATACCCTCTTTTCTTTAAATTACCATCTGCAGTTTTGCCGATTTTCAGGCTATGTTTTATTTTGTGCAGAAATCAAGTATTTTTGTTGACAAAAAAGAAACAGCTAAGAATGTTTGTCAAATTATTATACAATCCATACAATCACTAAAACGGACTTTCTCAATTAGAATTGCAAAATTGACGTGAGATCGGCCAATTAGAGCAAGAAAAACACCAAAGCCGGTTTTGACTCAGCGAGATGATCTTTGTAAATGCCAAGCGAGAAACCCTTAATCTCCGACAAAAGCTAAAGTTCGGCGGTGCAAGTCGTGCATGAAGATGTTGCACGGTCTCGTGAGATGAGCTGCAAGATCGGCTGCAGCCAATTGCAAATGATCGTGTTTTTATTACGGTTATGCAAAGTGAAAGTATCAGAGACGGCGCACGTAACGTGTGTGCGGTATGTTCACCAGGGGCCGAGTACGCTGCAGCCAACTAAGGTTCAGGTTGTTTCATCACAAGACAGACTCGCGCCGCCGCCGCCGCCGCCACTCGCGTTCGCCGTCATTGATGGATATGTGCTAGACCGCGCCAGACATGGGCTTCGCCGCGTGGACACTCTTGCTGGTGAGTCCAACAGCCAAAGGGGAAGAAAGAAAGATTTTCAATTTGGCCGACTTTCTTATATTCACAATTAAAAAAGGATTAAGCTCTTTGCGGTGCTCACTGAATAGAATAGCCTTTGTTGATTATCTCGCATTGTACGTTTTGTCTCTTGTCTATTATAAAGAATTTTCTTGAAATTCTCTTAAATTGTTTCCTTTTTAAATTCCATTGTTTAAAAAACCTTGAGCAAAATTTTCAGTAAAAAAAATGTCAATTTTTTTATATCAACTATTTTTATGATCGGTTTTTAATTTATAGTTGGTATAGAATTAATTAAAAAAAAATATTTAAAAAAAGAAATAATTTAGAATGGTAATGTAGTATATATTATTAGGTAAAAAAATTCCACATACATATTATATCAAATCACACCTTTCCAACAAAATAATTGTTTTGGTCTGGACTTCTAATTTTGATAACATGAAATTTTAAAAGGTCCATTATATCTCTAATTTTAAAAGAACATAAAACATGATAAAACCCATAGGAATATTTTTTAAATAATTTTGTGAAAATTTGTACACACGGGCTAAAAAAAAATTGAACTCAAATTACTTTATTTCAAATATTCTGCTAATATATTTGAAATTCTATACAATGTTTAGTCTGTAACTTTCAACCACCATTTGTTTTGAAAATTTTAAGAATTGTTATAATTGAACAAAGAACTACATTTGTAATATTTAAATTTTAGGGGCTGTAATTATTAAAAAATGTTCTCTTCACTACTATCAAAATTTTAAAATATTTGAATATAAATTCAATGGAATGAATTGCAAAATAGATTCGACATTTTACATCTGAAAACTGTAGAAATCAGAAAACACCACCTAATGAGCCGTGAAATCGATCCCTTCATTGCAGACGCTCTCTTCGCCATTAACGTCGAGTAAATCAAACGTGCCGCAATGCGCGAGTTGAGGAAAAAATGCGTCTATAGTAAACGGCTTTCTATCTGCTGCGTTTACGTGACACTTCACGCTGCATTTTCTTTGTCTTAATTACATCACCACTCGATTGACATAAAGAGCGAGAGATTTCACCAGCAAAACGCGCGTTAACTTCTATATTAGACTTTAGACTCAACATTTATGACTACGATCAGAAGGATTTTGATTAAGGACATAAAGAAAAACGCCTGTTCGTGTGTTTCGTGATGCGCGCCAAATTATGTTTGCTTGGCGAGGATAAATTTTTGAATTTTCCATGCTTGAGAGATTACCTCAACCCAAATTACAAATTACACGACGGTGACGATTTTATCTCACGTGCCGAATTTGCATAAGTAAATGCGATTCACTTAAAAAATATTCTCTAATTTTCCCTAACTATTGAATCTAAGAAGAAAAAGGGAGAGTTCCACGTTTGAATTAAAATTAACATAATTGTTTCATTAATTACTCGTTTTCTAACTTGCTGTTTTGCTAAGGATAGTTTCTAGTTTCCTTAGAGGGCTTATTTGATTCGTTTATAGGGCCTAATGTCATGTTGCGATGCCGTTAAATCTGGAAAGCTTATTTTGAGTGCAAATTTACTCAGCAAATATCCAAGTCAAACCGACTCTGCGAAAATACAATCATTTGAAAACATGATTGTGTAACCAGTTAATCACTTTGATGTTAACTAAAAAAAATCAATGCACTTTTGAATGAGCAAAAAAGGATCATGAAATTTGAGAAATGAACTGGGCACTAAGTCTAATCCAGTCTAATCTTGGTTAAAAAAAAGAAAAAATAATTGGTTTTTATTGAGAAAAAAGTTCTACCATGAGTTTAAATCCAGGTCATAAGCAAGAAAAAAATTCGCCAATTAATAATTTCTTTCTCCTGAAAAAGGGTTGACAAAAGAGCCTTTTTAATAATTTTACAAAATTTTCAAACAGAATTCCCAATTTAAAATTTTTGTATCGACTGAGAAGAATAAATAATAATAATAATAATGAGCTTCTCTCTATAATAAAATTAGTTATTTAATTTTATAGATTTTCTAGAATTTCTATTATCAATAACAATTTATTGGCCATCAGCGCAAATTTTCAAAACATGTTTTCTTCTCACTCAATTTGTAACCCCTATTAAGAGTCCAAGTTGAAAAAGGGTTTAAAAATTGCTACATATTTTAAGTCGATAAAACCATTAATAAATACGCGGAACAGATTGTTAATTGATCGTTATAAAGAAAAATCCATATCCAATTTCTAATTTTTCGTGTCAAAAGGATCAGTAGCAAAATCGTCGATTTCTGGTCTGCACAGAACCGCCTCTCTAATTATTGCTCGAAAACACACACACACACACACACAGCTCCAATCGGGGCAAGTTTGCAAGACGATTACACAACAACAGATCCCACGGCGGAAAAAAGCGATTTGAAGCCAATGGACTAAATTTTACATCTCGCAGGTGCAGTTGCAGCAGCCGGTGATTGTTGAGAGAAAAATCACTTCTCGTTGCACTCACTATCAGACGCGAAGATAATAATATTATGTCAGGCAATTTTGCAATTAGAGCCACTTTCTTTCCACAGTTTGTTCTGCTCAATAACTTTCGACGCCGAGCCAATTTTTAATTGTGTGTTTATTGGTTTGCTAATCACACTGCGGTCGAAAGCATCAGACAAATTGATTTGTTCCTCGAGCGCGTGTCCTAAACGGAAACGCAGGAATTCTGAAAAACAGAAAAGAACGAGTAGTTGAAGATGTGTACCCTATTAACTGATAACAATAAAGAGAGAAATAAGAGATTGGTCTATAATATTTATAACTTCTCCAGCATTGAAATATGACCTTAATTATGTTCATTTGTCACAAACGAAAAAAATTAATAATTGAAAAGTCTAAAAAACAACCTTGAAAATCTGAATTGCAATAGCGAGATAGTTTGTCATGATGATGGTGCACAAAATAAAAGCGAAATTCATTTGTGGACTAAAACTGCGTCCGTTTCGAGATGATGATTCTGAAAGGCCTCTGATTCTACACTTTCCATTTCGCGGGGGAATCATAATGAGCGGTGACATAATTCACAAAAGCCGCGGTCATCATGCACCTGCACGGCTGATAAAAAAAAACTTGCGCCAGTCCAAGGGCTCTCATTACAGTACAATTAATTTGTCACGCTTTGGTGCTCTGGAGAAAGAAAGAGAGAGAGAGCCTGTTTGATAAATAAGAAGCTTGTGTGTGAAATATTGAAAACCTCTTTGGCATGAATTTTCCTGACGGGCTTTCCGTAATGAGCTCCAGCGTCACATAACCCGGATTTGACAAGGGAATATCAATGAGTGAGTCAAAAGAATTTGTTTTTCATTGATGTAATAAATGAAAGTTTCTTTACATAAAAAGAAAGGTCAACAAGCATTATATTAATTAATACCATCCATTCTTATGATTTAATAATGAATTTAAAATGTTCAAAACATGATATTAAGAGGACAATTTCATACTTATAACTACTGCCTTTCAATTCCTGTTGATAAAAGGTTGACAGAAATTAATTAAAACATCCTTTACAAGAAAATAGATTGATATAATTTTTTTAAATTAGATTTTACATAATTTAGAGAATTTTGTAGGAATGAAGAAGAAAAAGGAAAAGCACATTATAGTTATGAAAAACCCGTCAATTTCCAAGAAATTTTTAACCAGGTTAAGTAAATTTAGCTTTTTAAGCATCATCATTTTGTCCTTCTTTTATTCAAAATCTTTATTGAAGCTGAATCAAAGTAAAAATATTTTTGTGACAGCACCACCCATTTTCAAAGAAGACAAGGCACTAAAATGAATTATTCATTATAAGAACAATATTAGAGAAAGACTGAAAAATGTGCAAAAATAAAATTTACATAGAAAAGTCTACAATAATTGATGATGAATAAAGTTACAATAAAAACAAAAAATCTCCCAAGAAAAAAGAGCATGCCTTCTGCAAGAACTCATAAGGGCACAGGTCGATATATATGACATTTTGTCTTGGCCTGACCCAAAAAAATCAATTTTGAATTATAGAATGGAATAAATTTGCAACGATCCATTGCCAAAATTTATTTTATTGTTAGTTAGACCAAATTATCAAAAAAACGTTTTTTCCACCAGTCTATTAATTATTATGATTTTCTTTTTTAAGTTAAAAATTCACAACAAAGGCGAATTAATAAACATTAAACTTGAATTAAACCGAACATGAATCAATTATTTTCATCTTTGTCAATATTGTAGGTGGCGTACGTTTTGGTGTGGTCGCCCACGTGTGACGCTTCAGACTGGCCGGTGCAACTGGGCATTCAGCTCATCAGAGAAAACGTGGCTGGACTGCCGGTGGTGCACGACAAACAGAGTTTCCCCTTCAACCCTGACGAGGGCTTAGTGCGTCGCGACCTGTTCACGCGGACCTTTGGCTTCCGGGGCGAGAACCTGATTAAGGCGTTAGGCGAGGGCGATGGAGGGTACGCCAAACCGGACGACGGCCAGCGGACACCCTACTTGCCCTTCAGGACGAGGCAGATTTTCAATGGACTTGGAAAAGACGGACGATGAGGAAAGTCTAATTAAAGTGCTTCAAACTCGATTCTGGGAAAAAAATTGTAGCTCGGAAAAAAAATTCACTGCCTAACTTAATAAATTTAACTTTCTTAAACATTGTAAATTTGAAGCTTGAAATAATCACATTTTTCTCCTGACTGAAGTGTTCCTCAAAATCGTCTTGGTTTGTGATTGATTACTTTCGCCATGGGTATGTCTGCCAAACTGTATACGTCCTGCGCAATGGTAATTTATTATTGTAAAACGCAATTTAACATTTCATAAAAACTGGAGAATGATATAATTTATTATTGGATACGCTTCTCGAATGATGTGAAAGGTGCCACCAGTTGTATAATCGCGTAAGCAAATATTGCGACCGCGAGAGCAGAAGTGAGTTGGGAAACCTTTGCTTGAACAACGAGGAGTGCTGCTTGAGTGCAGGCGAATCTGGAAACTAGGTGGTTTGTGTCTAGATTGTAAGCAAATAATAATGCAAGACTTCACTTTGGCGATGCATATCTAGATATTATATTGAATTGTGCTAATTTTAGGAAAAAAATTGAGATTAAAATTGATTAATAAAAATAACCACAAACTTGTTTTATTTACATAAACAATAACTAAAAATTAATGAACGCTGTAGTGTTTAAAAAAAACCAAACCAATAATATCAGTTTCAAAATGTTAGCAAAAAGAAGTTTATTTTGCCCATCAAAACTAAGATGATTATTTTTTTTGCAGCAATGGAAAAAAGAGACAATTATTTTTAAATTATTTAGTTCAATAATAAAAATTTAAAAATAAATACTCATACATATTAAACAATTTACTCTATTTTTAAATCCATTTCTAAATTATGAAAACATGTTATCTTACTTTCTTGCTGATTAATTATCTATAAATAAATAATAAAATATTCTTTATTTAAGCTAAAAATGAAAAAAATAACTAATATGGAAGTTTAATAACAGCGTATTTATAAAAATTATTTCCTGAAGAGTGCAATTTAATTTGATAAAACTTAATAAAATTTAAAAAAATAATAATTTCGACCGTCGGTAAATGTTTATGAATGGAAGTTTTTACACGTGTATATTTTTAATGTGAATGCGAAATAACTATTGCACCTGAGGCAAATGTTTGGTGCAAGGAAGTGATTAAAAACGATGAGGTAGTCAAAAGTGCAGACAAAGTCATGCCACCCGAGTCAGCGCACATGATGAACAAGATCGTAAATATGTAAGACCGCAGAGCGCTGGCCTCTAAAAATCAAGGCTACTACGAAAGAGCGATTGCTTCAGAGACCGTTCGGTAAAAAAAATACCGGTGAAAAAAATTAGTATTAGGCCCCATTAACTTTACCATTGTGTTTGACTTTGACAGATTGAAGATACGTAATAGACAAAGTTTCACCTCCAAACCAAAATTAATTCGCACATTCCTTTGGGCAAAAAATTCATTCATTAAAGTGAAATTAGATTAAATTTGGGTGTGCAGAGGAATTCGGCTCCTCAGCATCCTTTCGGCGCCGACTACTGGAGGACACCACATCCCAGGCCCCACCAGATCGCTTTCACTAAGCTCTAACCCACTTTCCCTAGCCCTGGGAGTACCTGAGCAGCACGCTCGCTATACACACGCAGAGCGCAATGGCGAACGCAGTGCTTTTGGTAGGTGATCAAATTTCCACTGAATTTCCCTGACTAAAAGTGATTTTCCCACTGACAGGGTTTTCTGGTCATGTGTCTCGTCTTCATGATCCTCAACTTTGACTTTACCGAGGCTGTTCTCACTCCACGCGCGCCAAACTTCCAGTATTTTGAAAGGTATGTCAAAAGTTTACTTTAATTTTATTCTTAATATTTTTATTGTAATTATAAAACTCCATGTTATTCAATTTAAAAATTAATTTTGTTCTATAAAATTAAAAATATTACATAATTTTCATTTTATGAAATACATGGAAAGTTTCAACATCATTCATGTGACTCGTGCAACAGCAATTATTACACTGAGCAATAGCACGAACTTGAGTTCACCCCAGGGTCAAGTTGAAAACAAAGCCTCAAATTAGATTATGTTTTCACCAATTTCACCATTACCAGATTTGCAATCTTATTTTGTTTGCCAAATGGAGCATCAGAATGCGCCTCTCTGTGTATTCTAAGAAGAGAAAGTACTGCTTATCAAACTTGCACTTTTCAATGAAAACGGTCACGTCCGCGCTTTTGCAGAACAGGAACAGTGCCAATTTAGAAACGCAGTCTTTTGGTTCACAATTAAGTCAAGCAGACGGAAAATCAAGCCTAAAAAGTTTGAGCTAGAGACAATCGTCTAGTTATACTTTCAATTGGCCCACTAATTTTAAAAAGTAGGTTGTTGATCTCTGAATGAATTGAGAGAAATTGCTCACTGATTCTTAAATGTTGCTCTCATTTCCAGCTATCATTTAAAAAAATTTAAAATTGCACCATTTTTTTTTTTACATTTTTCTGAATTTTTTTCCTTTTGTTTCTTCAATGAAGTTTATTAAAAACACGTTTTTTTTTCTTTTTCAGGCCAAAGTACAGATACCCTTACTACGACGAAAATGGACGTGGCAGATTACTTTATGGATATGGGGGGCCTGAACTTTTCCAATACAAATCCTACTCTCCTCTGGAAGGAATCCACTGATAAACTAAAAAACTCTACAAATGACTGCTCTTTAACTTAAGAATTAGAATTTATCACAGAAAAATAAATACTTAATTTTTTGTTACTTGAACGATTTTTCATTTAGTTCTCAATTTATGAATGTAATGCGCCTCTACCCTCTGCTAATGGCAAGTTTATGCAAAGGTTTTTTTATTGGTGAGCAACAAAATTCCTCGGCCTCTACCTCTCTACCTGGATTATGCCCTGTATTTCTACAAATTGGCCCATAAATACTACCAAACATGTTTACACACAAATTTTGAAGGATTTATGCTTCAAATTTATGGTAATTTTATCTGATAGTTCCCTATGGAAAGTAAAAAAAAAATTATTATTATAGAAAAATGATGAAATTTAAAAAAAAAATATTCTAATGATCTGTGATCAATGTGTTCTTTAAAGGTCATTTTTTTTATTCAATAAAGCTCCGCTCCTAAAATAAACAATGTGTATATTTATCCTGACCTGATTAGAGGAGCTCTGAAATCTTGATTGTCTTGCGAACCGCATTGCTGTAGCCCTCCTTGTAGCAGTACGAGATATCTGTCAGTCCTACCCTTAAGGCCTCTATGGCTGCAGCTTCCTGTTGAGATGCAGTTGGTGCTGCTTTGGTAATGGTGAGCCAATTTTTCAAACCCTTTTGAAAAAATATTAATAAAAATCTCACTATGCTATAAAATGATAAAAACACCTACCGGCTTGAGAGGACCTTTCTTCAAAATTTGGGGACTGAGAGTTTGCAAGTGGTTGGGCAATGATGGCTCCACAGCCTGCTTGGCTTGGCTTTTGCCCACTCTGGTTGGGGTCGGTGTCTCCTGGGCATGCAGAGTCCCAGACGCAAGACTGATGCGTCGAAGCTTTTCCGAATCGACTTCGTGGCCGACCAACTGCTTAACTGCGTAAATCATTTCGGGCGCCTTTGGTACATCCGAGAACTGCACAAGTTCAGGGACATTTCTTGAAAAAATAAATGGCAAAAAATGAAAGAATAATAATAATAATAAAATCAAACTTACGGCTCAAGTCTGTAGAGCATTTCTCCATTTGCAGTTCTCTCCTGGATAAAAGACAAACTATACCCAATGAAAATGTCAACAACCCTCTGCAGTTCCTTTTTCTCATCTGCACTCAACAGTTGGGCATTCACCTAAAAGTTTTGGCTTGAAAACAATTTGAGATAATCATCCAAATTTTACAGCTTTCAGGTTGGGCAAAATGATGTGAAGCATCAACGGCAGGGTGTCACACATAAGTTCGATGCCTTTGATTCCCGATCTGATGCTTGGCTCCATACCCTTCATGAGTGAGGCCAGGGTGGCAACGTTTTGCACAGATTTGTTCTTGACCTCGATGTGTTTGGACGGAAAGTTGATTTTGGGCCAGGCGAGACCAGCGTACAGGAGGTGCCACGTGATGAAGCAGTAGGGCAGGTAACACATGACAGCATAGTTTTGCTGCTGCTTAATCAGGGTGTTGAAGAAGTCAAAGTAGCAGAACCACGCTGAACCATAAATAATCTAAACAAATGCATTTCATTTTACTGCTCAGGAACAGGAAATAATTAAGATAATTATAATGTAAGGTCTGACGCAGGTCTGGCGGTTGAAAAATTGCTGCAAATTTTCCGAGTTTAGGACTAATGACTACATGTCATTGTGGATATTAATCTTGACAATTTAGTCCTTGCAAGGTTATGAGCAAATAATTAAACTTGCCGATCTCAATCCTGTCTCCTTCATTTTCATGTGCAGGTAATTTTCGTACACTCCTTGTGACAAAAACTCGTACTCCCCAAAATTCTGGACGATCTTCAAAATTCGATACATTCTGAAAAGTTTAATATTGAAATAAAAAATTGATTACCAGTGTATATAATTTTTTTTTACCTTGATCTCTGAGAGCCTGAATTTCTGGAACTATAACAAGTTAATCGGAAGTTAAACTTGACATATTTTTCATATTTTTGGGAACTTTTAATACTTACTTTTTCGGTTTAACGATTTGGAACATCTCATGCCACACTGCAAAAAGTCCATTTTGAGTGTCTTTCTGACCAACTGAGGCTCCCTGGACATCCATCAGTCTGACTTCTTTATTCTTTGTTTTGAAGAAGTGCAGGAAAGACAGGCACGATCGAATGTCATTTCCAGTTTTATCACAGAGAAGGAGCAGAGTGCCAAGATCAGTTTTTAGATGTTCCTGTTTGGAAACATCGAGAAGACGTTGCGCCAGCCTAAATTGTTTATTAATAATAAAAAGTGACTAAAAATAAGTAATCTCTAATGCAATAAACAAATTAAATACTTTGAGCTATCATTGGAAACTGATTGGAAAATATTTTATCCTTCCATTTAAAAAAATCAAAATTACCTAGGAGCTGCTGTAGGAGGGAAATTGATAATGAGTGCCTGTTGCTTGAGTTGTCGAAGTGCTGGCTTGTAGAGGTCGTTGCAAATGCAAATGATGGGCCTTTTCAGAATTTGCGCTTTTGCACCCTTCTTTTTCTTTCCCTTGGAAATGTCTTTGTCCGTTATGAACTTCAAAAGGACCTCAATGGCAGGCTACAAAATTTGCAACTGAATCAAAAGCAATACAAATACTTTAAAAAGACACAAAGTTTAAAAATACAAACATTAATAAAAATTGTGCTATAAAATGGAGAATAAACAAGCAAAAAAGAATAAAATACCAGTGGTGTGCCATCAATTTCGTCCAGAACTAGGCAGTTGGGCTTTGGGTTATCCCCGATCACAGATCGCATCTGAGTGGCTGCCTCTAGCACCAATCTGAATGCATCAGGACTGCTGTCGTCACTTGCATTTACCTCAACAGGATTGTAGCCTTTTAAATTTCATTAGTCCCAGAATATTTGAACAGAAGCTAATATAACCTGCATGTTTTGCAAGAATATGAGCTAGAGTGGTTTTTCCAAGACCTGGAGGGCCACACAACAAAACGATTTTCTGCATAGGCCGGCCATGAGAGTCGTACTCCTCGTCCAGAGTGCGAAATGGGTTTTTGCCACCACCTGAAATTCTTCTTAGCAGTTTTCTTTAAAGTAAAAGTATGTCTTACTAAATTTCCCTTCAGGCTTTTTGACAAAAGGTCGATTATCTTTAGATGGAAGTTTCTTGTTGAAAACAACATGGTCCCACATTTTCAACCACTTCAGAACTGTTTTATTTGTCCCCTAAAATCCATTTTAAAGATTTATTTTTCCATTTTTGTACTACATTTACCTCATCACTGAGAAGCTCTCTGTAACTGTGAGGTTGGTACTTTTCGACCCAGAGCTTCTCGCTTATTACCGGCTTGTTCCTTGAGACTTCCATCATATCCAAGAGCTCATCCTCCTCTTGTTGGGTACTTGGAACAAACTGCATTTTCTTCAGCTACACCAAAAACATTAATTTTTAATTTGTAACTTAACTTTAAAATTTTGATTATTTACCAAACTTTGAGCTTCTGCCCAGGTATCTCCTAATGATGTTGGAAGCAGGTTTGTTGATTTTGCTTTTACGCCAGCAATCTACAATTCAAGATGTTAATAAACATGCATGGAATTATTAATTCCTTAAATACCTCAGTAGCCAAATAGTCCTCAGATTTAAGGCGCAGATAATACTTGTCAGAATTATGGTTCCGCATAGTGATGAATGGGTAGCGGGGAATTCTGTTAGTAATAAATTCACTTCCAAGGCTAGAGAAAATAAGCATAAAAATTTGAAGTAAAAATTATATTTGAGTGTACCCATTTGATGCTTCAAATTTTCTTTCGTTTGGAAGCAAATTGTTTTCTGCAAGAATTTTTTGCCTTTCCTCCCTGATTCTTGCAATCAACCTCAAGTCTTCCTCCAACTCGTCATTCTTTTCCTTTTCTTTACCTCTAACATCATCTGAAACTAATAAAAAAAATTTATACCTCTAGAAAATATTAAGAATATTGAAATTGTACTGATGTCGTAGTACTCTTCTCGTTCAATGTCCTCAATGTCACCGAAAAGTTCGTCGGCTTTCCTCTTCCTGCTGCTCCCGACTCGATTCAGTTCTTCGTTGATCACATCCATCCTGGAGTTTTCCAACACGTCAGGAACCCTCCTGCTGCTCTGTGTGTCTTCAACGCCAGTTAAACTGGAGTTGAGCAGGTTATCTGCCTCCTCCTCTTGAATGGGTTTGCTTTGCTTTCCAGTGAAACTCAAACTTTTCTTTGCTCGTTTCGGAGCACCGGTGTCAAAATCTATTTTTGGGGAGTATAAGTAAGTCAATTATTTATGATATTTTAGATTGAGTATTTTGCAAGTTACCATCTTCCATAAGCTGCCTTTCTTCCTCTTCCCTTTCTCTCATGATTTCCATTTCTTCGGCGTAAATCAAGTCGAACTCCTCGTCTGGATCTGGGTAGCCGTCCATGGCTGCTGATTTTACAAGACTACTTTACTAGAAAAATTAAAAATATTTAGTACAAATTTTATGAAAAAAAATGTTAATAAAAAATGCTTTTAGAGTCGGATTGCAAAAAGAGAAGTTGCCGCTCATTATTATTAAGTTTATTTTTTGCAGTTTTGAGTTTTGACACAGGTCTGCGTGGAGATATATTTATAAGTAAAGCACTGCGCATCAAACTTCATACCTTACCGAAGTAAAAAAGATGTAAAAATTGATTATAGATGAAATTAAAGCATTGATAACTAACAATCCAGGCATTAGAAAATGCGACAGCTGCTTTGGAAAATATGACCGCCAAAACCCTCCTTTCGAACGCACTCAGCCAAAGCAACAAAAGCAACAAGCCAAAGAGTTATATTTAGCCACCTAGCGGCATTTTTAAAAACTACCAAAAAAGCGCCAATCCAGACGTGTTGCATTAATTCTCTAGCCGTGAAATGGCAATAGCAACGTTGATTTGGAATTGTTTTGTAAATTATGATCATAGTATTCATAGTATTCAAAGGAAAATTCTTCATCCCCTTCATATTTTGACGAGGTCGCTCAATCAAAAGGGCCATAATTGCAATTTGACCCTCTTACATTTTATTGCTGACTCTTTTATTTTCATAATATGAACCACAATACATCTCAATCATCAAAAAATAAATTGCACATTTTGATTCATATTAAATTATTAAATTAGTCATGTTATATTTATAATAATTCTGATAAAAATATGTGTAATATTTTGAGACATTATGCTCTTTAAAAGCTTGTCAAATTTTTATATTCCAGAAAATCTCTGAATTTTTAATTTTTACAATGGCACCCGATGACACCTTTCTAATACTAAACCAATATTTAAACAAATTTTTGTATCTATGTAACATAAATTTTCCACAAAAACGCACAAAAAGATATTTATTTGTGTATTTCTATTTTTATACCTTTCTTGTTTAAAAATGGTTGATAATTATTTGTTTTCTTTGACTGAAAGCGATCTAATACATTACATATTAGTCTAGACGAAAGATGATAAATTGAAAATTGCATTAACGAGAGAGATGAGAGCTGTCCTGCTCCCTCTCTCACTTTCAGATGATTAATTTGTTCACATGACGACAATGGAGCCACGAGAAGAGACCCAACGTCTTCTCGCGATATCCTCGCGTCTTGTTGTGCGCCGGACGAAGGAAACGAGCTTGAAACACAATCGACGCTCTCGATTTAATGCCTCGGTGACTTCGCAACCGCCTCCTTCTTCACCTCTCTTCCTTTTTGTCTGCAAATTCGCCGAGAGGCTAAAATTAGTTCTCAAAAGAAACTGAACCTTCAACATGACCGGACACTTTTCGATCTTACTTATTGCTTGCGCCACTCTTGGTGAGTAACAAACCCAACACTAACGTAAAATTATGTAAAAAAAAGTAATAAAAAATTATTTTCTTAAGATAATAATTTAATTTATTTGTATTTAAACTAAAGTTGAAATGTTTTTGCAAATCCTTCTCGGTCAAAAATTATAATTTAAAATGTCGCCAAAAGTTTGGTGATAAATGTGAAAATCAACAATGATAAATGCTTTATTAGCATCTCTTCTCTAGAAGGCTTAAAAAATCAAGCAATTCGAGAATAATTTTCTGACGTGTATAATCGCGGTTGAGATTTAGCTTGCGTGGGACAAAAATTATCTCATCTTCTGCTAGCTAGCCTTAATCTCTGACCTCTGTTATCGCTCCTGAACTTTATCCACAAATAAATGTTTTCAATCTGGAATTTTCAGTTTCCAAACTGCATATACAATTCTAAATAATTCTTTGTTTAGTTTGCATTGGATTGAACTTGATTGACGATAAATCTACTAATATAGCATGACTGATTGTATTGTATTATATTTGATTTATATATTTGTAATAACTGCTAAACATGCCAAAAGAGAAATTTTACGTTTAATTGTTTGAATTATTTCATACTTATTAGTTTAAATTATAAAATTAAGATTTGTAAATAAAATCTATTAAAAATTTTAATAGAAAAAAAACATTGCAACAAATAAATTATTTGTGAAGGATATGATCAAATTTGTATTTATTAATTTTTTAAATTTTACTTATTGTATTGTTAAAGATAACAAATGTTTTAGTTAAAAAATGCGTTTTTAATTTTTTTTTATAATTGTCATGCGAATAGTTTTCATAATTAATATTTTTTTTAATTTTCATGTTTCAGGCTCGCTCACGAGCTGTGCACCAAGTAAGTATAATTCATATAATATTATACACCATGTGGGGTAGTGAAAACAATTAGCACATTATAGATTGCCAAATGAAAAGTCTCTAATCCTCTAAATGCCTCTCTCATGTTGTGCAAAAAGCAGTTTGTAAAATAATATAAATCATTTGCAAAAAACACTTTCGCCCATACGTTCATGGGACCGGTTTTTTTCTTCCAAACAAACGCAGCTAGCTTCCGCTTTCCATAACTATCCTATATATATAGAAAAAAATCTTACTTCGGGATATGCAGTGGGTAACAAAAATTGACCCGTGAGGTCATCCGAAGTCGAGCACTTGCTCTGACGTGGCGCTCCGCCTCCCACAGAACAATTCAAATAAATTACCAACCAACGGGTTAGGGGACTTTATTCGAATCAAAAGGATCCACATCATACACACTGACTTAAGAGAATGATGTGGCGCGGCAGGAAAGGAGTCAAACTAACGGTCCGGTTACTTTCTTTCGCCGGTCGGCGCGCAGTCGAGCGCGTGTCGTTGGCCGCATCGGAGCTCAAAAATCAACTGCACCATGTTCGCCTGGGTCTTAACCACCCTTCTGTTGGTGTCCCCAGCCACGCCGGCCACCCCTTTCGGCCAGTTCGACCTCGGCACCAGCAGCACCTTTGACTTCTTGAGCACCGTATTGCTCGACGAGGCCAAAGACCCGACGCAGGTGGCCAACGAAGAGGCCAAGGACGTGGGCTTCCAGATCGCGGCCACCCTCCAAGTTGCCTCCCTTTGGCACAACCCCGCCGACCACAATGACAAACTTCTGCAATTGCAGGTTCGTTTTAAGCTAACAAATTTAATATTTATACAGATTTTTTACAATAATAGAGCCAGGTTTCTTAATTGATGTATTTAGGAAAATTTTTAAAAACGATAGTTGAAATTCAGGTGATTTTTTGGTTTCAACAAAATCGAGGGTTAATGAAATTTTAAAAAAAGTAATAAAAAGATAATTTAAATTTTATAATTGTGCAAAATCAGCTTTTCTTTGTATCATAGTGCTTACTTATTATTTTTACCCAAAATTGAAATATTTTTCAATAGAAATAGTCTTTCTAAATTTGATACATCAACCAAAGTTTATTTTAAGTTTGTTGTTGGAAAGCCATTAAACTATAAAGAAGACATTAATAAGCTAATATTAAGCTCAGCACTATCGACACTTTTATCACTTCTTTTGATAAGAACACAGTCTCTTGATTAGAAATAATAAGTACTAATAATAACAACGCAAGCTTTTGAACTTCATTGGTGGCATTCACCTTCAGAGTGTCATTATTTCGCAGCTGCCTTACTTACTTATTCAACTCGCGCATTTGCATTTATTCAACCACGCATTGAAGCAGTGTCATTCATTTTAACCACTTCCTCTACTGCTATTTTATTTTTGAGGTTTATTTTTTATATTACCTAATTCAAATAAATTCAACTTGCAACTCTGAACAATAGCTTATTTTCAATTGTCTAAAAAAATCATTTTAATTCAAAAAATTAAACTATTAACGGCAAAACCTTAAAGAAAAATATTATTTGAACGTTGAATGAAAAGAAAAAATTTTAATTATTTTTTTTTTAACTGTTTTGGTTTCAAAGAATTAAAAATTTTGCATATAAGGTATTCATTATTGGCATAGTCAAATCAAATATATTTATTCAATGGACAATAGAGTCATTTTCTGCAACTGTAATACACTAACAAAATGTAAACGAGAAAAATTATCAAATAATACTTATAAAAAAAATAAGTGAATGAAAACACACAAATATATACAAAATTCTCACTAGAAATTAATTTTAATATATCAGAAATATTCTGAAAACTGTTTTGCACGTCATGTTATTCCCTTAAATTAACTTCATGAGTTGATGCACTAACCCATTCCTACACATTATTTCTGGTTTTGCCTTAGTTAGTCGGGCGTCGCAGTTACCGTTAGGATTACACATACGCGTCTTTTGGTTACGCTACCTTCTTCTCTCTCACGCTTCAAATAACATACTCTCACGTGCCTTGGCCTATCAAACTCGCTTAAAATTTTTCACTCTCTCAACTAATTGTATAAGCACAACAAGGTGGCATTTTAGCTTGAACGGTGCCAAAAAAATAAGCGCTTTCTCTTTCGTTGAACTACCGCGTGTCAGGGAGATTATCTATTACAGAGGAATGTTGGGGCAGGGCGCCTCTTACTCAACAATCGTGGTACAAGAGGAACTTTTGTATACCTGCGGGTGCGAAGGTCCTCTCAAGGTTACTACTGGTGCTTGCAAACAAACTCAGGGAATACTGAAATTAAGATAGAAATCCAAGTAAGGAAATTTCATGATTAGCCTGGCTTGCTGATAAAATACCAGCGGAATTTTTATTTTATAAACAAAACATGCGTATTTTTCAATGAACACCTTTATTGGAGGGAAAAAGAATACGAAAATAAACTTGAAAATATTTTTTTCCGTGTTATTAATATTATTATTTTTGGTGCGGCTTCTTTACTTTAATTTATTAATTATTAGTTATCAGTGACTTTTATAGAATAATTTATATTACGTTTCAGTTAAAAAAACCATTTCTGCACATCAAATCTCGGAAGGCACCGTCACCTGACGGTTTCGTGACGCACACCTCCAACCTCGAGTCGCTGAAAAACAACCCTTTCTTGGTGCATTGGAACAATGGTGAAGTGAAACATCTGTACGTGACTGAAGATGAAACTCTTTCGCTGGTCAACTTAAAACGAGGCGTCGCCAGTCTCTTCCAATTCCGCACGTTCGACATGGAGGCAAAAGAAACGGACGTGTCAGGATTTTGCGACGTCAAATACGCGACCAACGACGGCTTGAAAATCGAAAAAATCAAGAGCAACTGCGTGGCTCACAAGGGAGTCGTTCCTTTCATGCTCCACCCGGACAAAGTAAAATATTTCTTACTTTTTTTTAAATGAATGGACAAAAATTAAATAAAAAAACTGGGTGAAAATAGGTGTTTGGTCTTCATGTCAATGGAAACAGGAAAACCAAATACGTCTTGAAAAACGACGGTTCTGCCGTTGAAAGCATCACGTCCTCAGACTACCACGAAATGTTTGTAATTGTCAGACAGGAGGCGGGAGGCGCCGTTTCGGCCTCACAGGAACTCAAATTAACTGGTAATAAATAAATAAAAATAAAAAAATCATAAATAATGTCCAGGATTGTTTTTAAATTAATTAATTTTCTATATAAATAAATAATAAACGTTTTGATTTGATTTTTAGATATTTCAAATTCGGCAAAACCAATCAAGGCAGACACACTGGACGACGCAGTCAAGCAGATTGGAACAAAAATTGGAGCTAAATTGGCCAAAAAAGAAATCCTGCTTGAACAAGAGCCACCTAATTGCCAAGATGATTGTCCCACGGTAGAAATTTAATTATATCTAATTTAATCTTAGGCCTAATTGAATTCATTGAATTTCATTAAAAAAAAAAGTTTGCAAAAGTCATCCGAGATAATAAGGAGAATCTCAAAACGTCCACTTTAGGATCGATCAAATCGGCCTCGTCCTTCATCAAAGCTGTGAAAATCGCAAGAAATTCCAAAAAGGCTGATTTGGTGAAAGTCTTGAACCACGCCAAATATATCGAGCTACTGTAAGTTTTTTTTTATAAAAATGATGAATCATTATAATAATATACTTTGTTTTAAAATAATTTTTAGGCCACAGCTCATTGACATAATTGCTGCGGCGCAAACCGTTGAGGCGCACAATGCTGCTGTTGAGGTGCTCGACTTTGGTTCAGACGGCGCCATTGACCTTCCTGAACGTTACCTCTGGTCCCTTTCATTTGGTTCCCAGCCCATTGAGTCCGTCATTAGAGGTAAAAAGATGAAATATACATTATTACAATGGCAAAAAAATTTTCAAACAATAAAATAGTAAAACTTTAATTTCCCATATTATGAAGTCTTTCAGAGAAAAATTCCATCACTCATTGTCAATTACATTATTTATTTTTTATAAAAAATTTTATCAAGGATTTTTTAGTTAGTTTTTTTCTTTCAAATTTACAGATTTGTTGGGTCGCACGCAGCAAAACGTTCCCAGTCAGAAGCTGAGCGAGACGTTGTCCCTGACCGTGACTGGCATGACCAGCAAGTGGCTCAAGTTGCCCGGCAATGCAAAGAAGGCGCTTAAGGATGACGTGCGTAACTGGTTGCTGAAGAAATTGCGGGCCTGCGACGAGTCGGACGAGGAGTGCAAGTTGACCAATATCAGGGCGCTGAAGAACCTGGCTCTGCCCGAAACCATTCCGACCCTGATCGACCTGGTGAAGACCGGCACCAAGAAAATCTGTGTGGAAAGCATGAAGGCCATTTATGGAATGCCAAAATCAGCGTGGGACATAAAGGTAGAATTGAAAATTTTGTTTGCAAAAATTGCATAATGTGCAAATAACAAGTATATAAAAATTGAACCAAAAGAAATACTCTTAAATTGCATAAGGAAGCTATTATAATTATAAATAATTTTATTACTATAATACAATTTAGCATATATAAATAATTTGAAAAAAAAATAAGAATTAAATATATAAAAAAAAATTATAAATAAAGTTATAATTTAATTATATTAGACGTTTGAATAAAAAAAATGTTTTTTTTTTTAATATTTAATTAAAAACATTTATTTTAATAAAAACTTTATTTAAATTTTTAGGTAAGAGATTTATGTCTCAGGGTGTACCTTCAGCTAGGTCGCAGGTACGACTCGAGTGCTCGTACGCTGGCCATCGACCTCCTGTTCGAGGCAGGAGTGTCCAAGGAGGAGTTGCAGGAAATGATCCGTGCGATGAAGCACTTTATCACCAGGGAGTGTCAGGAGGTCGGTCAGTACCTTTTGCAAAGGTTGCGCCAGGTGGCCGAAAAACAGAAGAATCTGGTCGCGATGTTCAAAACGGTGCTACTCGAGGAGGAACTGAACAATTACCACGTGCTTGGCCAGCGAGGAATGGCCACCGCCTTCACCAGGGACTTCCTCAACACCCCTAGCAGCAATGGAAGTCTCGTTTCCACCCTCGAACTGGCGGGTGGAATCCTGAAACGCAGCGTCCTCGACGTGGTCATTGAAGGCGGAGATGAGTCAACTGCGATTTTCACGGTGAATGAATTTTCTTTTATTTAAAAAAAAAAATTATTAAAATATAAATTAATTTAAAATAACAAATAAAGTGTTAATAAAAACAAAAAACTTAGTCGCTGTAACGGATAGAATCTTTTGATCTCTTTCAGTTTTAACAAAATCTTTGCTATTGGTGTTGCCTTTTTTTCCAAAGATTCAATTTTTTCCTTCACACGCCTTCACAAAACGATTTTTTTCTTTAATTTAAAAGTTTGATTATAGTTGGACAAAACAACAACAATAATATAATAAAAATGCATTTCAAAATTTTAATTTTCTTAATTACTTTTGTTTTTTCTAGATGGGAATGTTCGCTGGTGGTTTGAGCAGTTTTGTTACGACGGACGACGCAGCGGCGCCTCCAGAAGAGGAGGAAAGTGCCAACGCGGGAATGGAATTGACAGTCATGGGAATCCAAGTGCGTCCTTTTGTGTTTTTCGAAGGCCAGGGCGAATTGATGGGACACGTTTGGTCAGGCACTGGCTCTGAGAGAACGCCCGCTTTCCAGGTATATATCAATCTATATATAATTGAATGTATGAATAAAATTTAATCCCTGATTTTGAAAATATATAACAAACAAAATAATACAAAGATAATTCAATAAAAAAGCCTTTTAAGTACAATTTTTTATAATTTTTTAGTACGTGTTATTAACTGTATTTAAATTTAAGGCTTTGATGCTTCTCCACGACCACTTTGAACTGATCAATCTGCAAAACGGTCTTGTTGCTGAGTTGTCCATGACAGGAGGCATGTCTTTTGACCTCGCGGGTGAAGTGCAGCTCAGCTTGTGGAACAGAAATGCCCACTCGGTTGTGGAGAAGAAGTAAAAAAACAAGTCAACGTTGTATCACAAAAACTAAATTTGATGTTTTTCCAGTGCTGGAGTTGTTATGCAAGGAATAATCACGGTCGACACCTCTTTTGTAAAGAGCATGGTCGACTTTAATATTGCGATGGAGCCAAAGTTGAATTTGGTTTCGGACGTCAACTTCTATAACAAAGTGGCTCTTTGCCTGCAACTTAGTCAACCAGATTCGACAGTCAAGTAAGAACTATTATATTATTTTTAAGTAAATTTACAATTAATGAAATTCAGGCTTCATTTTAACTAAATTGAAAGTTATTTTCTGCAAAGAATAACAGTTTCTTGAATGAATAAAATAAAAATATTAGAGCTCTGGAAAAAAAATATGAAGTTCCATTATTGCCAGAATGAATGGGTTGCGAAAAAAAGTAAAAAAATCAACATTACCATGCTCACCAGTCTATAACAATAAGAAAAATATTTGATTTTTCCAATTCGCTATTTCTATTGAATTTTAAATATATTTTAGGCACAATATTCACAAGGTGGAAAGAATACCAGGCAGCAAACACAAGCTGCGCAAGTCCAAGTACAAGACGTTCCAAGTGCCAGGAAAAACCTACGCTCTCAATCAGAAGAACAATGAAATGTGCAACTCTCTCTTCAGCGACGCGCAATGACAGAAATAATTTTTCTAGGAAATACAAAATTAAGACTGCATTTAGCAGAAAGAGTGTTGTGTGGCTGAGTTTTGTACATTTTGTTACACACGTTGTCCTTATTCCTGTTGCCAGTTTCCGTAGCTTTGCTTGTTAAAATATTTTTTTTTTATTGTGTAAAACGCTCAAGAGTTTTTATAAGAAGGAGGCTGTGAAATTCAAGAAAAGAAAAGCATCATTCCACTGTACGTTGTGGATTTTTTTATTACCATTTGCCACGCAAAATATTTTTTTTATATACATTTATATTTCAATCAACTGACTAGATTTTTGGATAGCGCTATTACTTTATAAATGTTCCGATTTTTTTTTTTTAAATAAAACGTATAATTATACGCTTGACCGGATATTGAATTATTTTCTCAGCGACACCCACACTCGACGACCACCATGTCTTCGTAACTGAGGCGATAGGTGATGACCGAGTTTTCGTCAAGGTACACCATGGAAATCGGTTTCAATTTTGTGGGCACGCAGCACGGTTTCTGCGCCTTGCGTGGGTTGCTCGAGTGCACCAAAGTTTGGATGATCGAGTGTTTGGTCGGCGTCAGATGCTTGCTGAGGGGGTACACGCATTTCCCAACACATTGGAACGCCTGCAATTTATTTTTAAATAAAAATTTTCAAGATGAACTTCAATCAACCTCATAACCGGCCGGGGCGAGGACCCACGAGTCGTATTGGATTTCGGAAAAGTCGACGTAAAGAGATTTTAGCCGGCATAAGTTTTTGAGTGGCTTTCTGGTGTAGGTGCTGCTTTTGGGATCCGGGGTGCTTGTGGTTGAGGTTGTGTGAAGGGCAGAAGCCGCCCTGACGCCAATATCCTCGTCCCAAATGTTGTTCGTTTCCTCTTCATAATCCTCTGGCTCCTTTTGGAATTTCATGGAAATTGTGAAAGATAATTATCAACTTTGAATTTTTGATTAATTACATTTTATTATTTAACCTGAATGAAATAAATTATAAAAATGACTAATTTACATGTAAACCCAAATTATGGAAATGACAAAAATTATAAAATATTTTGCTTTCAAAAAATTTCATTTCGCAATGTAACATGTCAATCGCAAATTTAATTGAATAGTATCAGAAACTTTAAAGAAAACACGAAATATACATTTTAATGGAAAATATAAGTACAAAAAGTTATTTTATTAAATAAAAGTAAATAATGAAATTGTTGTAATGACAATAAAATTTAAAAATTATCTCTATATTTATTACATCGGGTGTCCAGTTTATATGAAAAATTTAATTATTTAGTGTTTTTAGTTAAAATAATTTTCATTTTGGTAATCAATTAGATTGAAATACCCGTAAGAAGTCCATCATTGGGACGCTTCTTTTGGTCAGGTTGTGTCCGGCAGTCACAAGTTCAGGTCTGGTCAGACTGTTTTCCAGATTATACATTAGCAAGACGAAGGGCTCTTGTCGCTGCCCGTGGTCCAGATTGAATTCGAGGTCGCCGCCACCACCCACGTTTGTGTACGGATTCAACACGTGTAGGTGCACGTGCAGCTCGTCGCCCCCCAGTTGGCTCCACACCTTGAAACTCTGGCTCAGGTTGACCGACAGCCACGTGTTCCTCTTCAGGTACACCTGCGTCAGGGTGGTCGGGTGCGCCTCCACGTTCACCGAATTCTCGTCTGGTGAGCGCAGCGTCACTTGCAAAAGTCGCTCGATTCCTTATATATTTCAAAATAATTGAAAAATTTTCTCAATAAAATGCTTTTCATGAAGGTACCATACAAACTTTTGCGTCTATTGTGAACGTTGGCGTAGATTTTCAACTGTACTTCAAAGAGAATTTCTCCAGCGAGTGAACTCGGGATTTTGAATTGAAGACTTTGGATTTCTTTTCGTTCCGTTTTTTCACTCTGGACCGTCACTGAAACGCCAAAAAAAGTTGTCAAGTAGCATGCTGTGCTTAAAAGCTGTGCTGGTTGCATACAATGATACTTGTGGGCGATTTTTCTCAAGCGAAATTAAAAAAATATTAATGTAGCATTTAAAGCTTAAGTTAAGTTCACATTTAATATAAAAAAGAAACTAATATAAAAAATAGGTTACAAAAAATTAATCTTCTTTAGTAATTTATTAGTTTTTTATTTAAAAAAATAAGGGATTTTCAATTTATTTTAGATAGAAAAGACCTATAAAAAATATTCTATTTTAATCTAGTATTTTTAGCTCAGTTTTAGGAATAACCGCATGCAGTTAATCAGGAGAAAATGGTGAAAAAAAACCTGGTTCCATAAATATCACGACAAGTGATTAAATTAAGTTTGAATGAAAATCCTAATATTTGTATTTTTTTTTTTTTTTTTTTTAGGGTCAGGCCAAGACAAAGTCTTGTCGGCCTGTGCCCTTTATTGGTGGTACAGAAGGCACCACCCAATTAATTTTTTTTATTTTTATTTTTGGGTTGCAAATAATTGTATTGGCTCAACAGACACAAATAATCTGATATCAAAAGAGTACAAGGGGAAGTTCTAGTATTAAAATCTAATTTTAATCGAAGTGAATTAGACTGATTCATTATTCAAATTATTATTTTTTTAAATTATTTACGGCAAATATTGAATTACAACTGAAAAGTTTAAGATGAATGTGTTTAATTTTGTCCTTTCTATTTTAGTTTTCAGCTTTTTGCACGCCTTTGACTGACATAAAAAAATAATATTGAATAATGAAAGTAAACACAATATTTTTTTTTTTTTTTTTTTTTTTTTGTAAATAATTTCCTTTTAATAAAAAGATATCGTGCGTTATCCAAGTGAATCTAAAAATTCTCTATTTCAAAATATTTTTTTATGGATTTTTAAACGAAAAAAGTCATACCGATTTTTAAAGGAGACAAACTGCGGACTACATCTGCCACGGGCCGGTCCGTTTGCAGCAGATCCAACATGAAGCTGGGCACCATCGGCTTGTTTTGCGCGTAGGATGCGCCCAGAAGGAAAAACCAAAAGGTAAAAAAGCACCTCCGCATTTTCCCGGCAGCAACGAGCAGAGAAGAAAGGCGCGGTTTTCTCTCTCATGCGTGGTGCGTTTGGAAACACAGAAGCAGTGGCGAGTGACCACTTGAAAGTGCTGACTAAATTTAACAGTAATCATCTTATCGCGGCAGCCCCTAAATACACGTAGTAAGTTGTTCTAATGGATCGCGTGTGCATCCACGGCTGCGATTGGAGTTCAAAGCGGAAACAACTACCAATTAATTCATACTAGTGAGATTTACCAGAGCTCTGCCTGAAAATTTGTGAACATTCTCTAAATAAAATTGATAATACATGTTGCTGAAATTGAAATAAAATTAAGTGCTTTTATTTATTTATCAACGTTTGAAGCATAATATAATATCAATTCCACCCATTATAATGTAAAAATTTCAGAGATAAAATTTTGTAGGATCTTCTCTGCAGCATTTTTAATAGAATAAACTTAATTAAATCTTAAAATCCACTTTCTATTAATTTTTTCCAGCCAATTGATGAGTAGACCACATGGCGCTTCTTTATCATTGTTAAAAATATTGATAGTGATTTTTTTAATGGAAAATCTGATCTGAAGAGAATTAAGCCTTTCTATTTGTTTAAAAAAATTAACAAAACTTTTTACAAGAAAGAAAAATGAGAAAAATTATTTTTCTATTTTTTGATTTTAAGATTTGATTCTTTAAAAGAACAATTAAATTTTTATTCAATTTAATTTTATAATAAAATTTATCAAAAAGATTGTCCTCACCAGTCTGGTCATGGTAATAAAATCCAGTCAAGGTTGTATTGCAAAAATCTTTTACAACTAAATTAAATTTAGATTTAATGGGCTTTTAGACCACCGAGAAAAATAACCGCCGCATCTTTTAAAGGCTCGTAAACCTCAAGAATCAAGTCTTCGTATATCCGAATGCCTGCACGTACCGCGCTTGCCGCAATTTTTTTAATTAGTTGGCAAAACATATTTGTTGCAAATCCTTTTGTCACAATATCTCAGACCAATTTGTTTTGCTTTTCAGAGCATCCTCCTGGTGATGAAAAATATATTGTGTCACGCCCCATGAGTGGAAACATGCCAAAGAAAATAAATAAGCACAGGAGAAGGAAGTCGCCTTGCAGTCTGTGGTGATTTTACGCGATAGTCCGGAATTTGTTTTTATCACAAAGTAGGCTATTTTTAGACGGCAAATCTATTATCGGATGTTGGTCTTTCCCAAACTGAACTTTTATCGCTTCAAATAGGAAAATTAACGTAAAAGTATGAAACTTGGGCGAATAAAAAATAACTTAATTATTTTGTAAAGTTGTCATAAAAGATCAACTTATATCTTCCATACACAAGGTTTTTTTAAGGGAAAATATGTCAAAAAATATGTCAATATATATAAAATAATAAAATTTAATAATAAAAAATTGCAAGAAATAATAAAATAATTTAACAGTTCATTACATAAATTACTCATAAAAATTATTATAAAATAAGAACTATAAATATTATTTTAATAGCCTACAATCTAATCTTTGGCTCTTATTGCAAGTTGAGCAAGGGCACCACCACTTCGCAGGTAGGGGCGCAATGAGGGTTGAGGAAGCGGGGATGGCGCGCCCTCATGAATGAATATCAGTATCCGTCAGTTCAGTATTCAAGTGCGCAGGTATAGTACGTGCAGGCAAAATCATTTGAAATTCTTCTGCACTCACAAAAAGAAAGCATATATTAAAATTATATTTTATATTAGCAAGGATTAAATTTTACGTCTCAAGTCTGAAAAGTACACAGGAAACTCCTTTGACAATAAGAATGTACGAATTATTTTCATCTCTAATGGGATTCTCGCATTAAGGGTGGGGCTTACGGAAAGTTACGGTCAATCAATAAGTTTTCCGACAGTGACACACGTTTTTCTTGTGAGCTTGTGGCAGTCTTGGGTGGAGCAACTTCCTCTTCGTGGAGAGCAGAGGCGTGATGAGAACAAAGAAGTCCTTTTTAATTAAAAAATTGAAACGTGCGACGCTTATTAATCAAAAAGAGCAGAAATTCCAAAGCGTTTCTTCCTGTTTGCAACTTTAAAAGTAAACATTCACCAGAGCACACCTGCCTATGATTGAAAGAAACAAACTGAGAAAATTAAAAAAAAAAAAAAAAAAAAAAAAATGTGTTTAAATTTTATTATTCATGATTTTATTGCAGCTGTGCATTGGGCTTATATTTGAATAAAATACTAAAGGCTTAAAATAAAGAGCTGGAAGAACAGGTCATGAAGTAAAGGTGAAGATCATTTTCATTTATTTACGTCACAAATGCAGTTCTGTTCTTTGCAATAATTATGACTTGCTGGCTAAGCAAGCTTCAAGCGCATAAAGGGCTCTTTAAAGTGTAATTTTTGATAAACGATCTGAATTGAGAATAAATAAATTGAAAATAAAAGAATACTTGAATATAATCTCTGCTCTTCTTTTTAGACTTTGAGGAAAATGAATTAGTTTTTCAATGTTTCTGATTATTAATATTCGAGTTAAACCTCTTAATTCCTAGCGATTTAGAATAATTCCAAGGAGACTTTTCAGACTCATTTGGAAGCTAAAATTCTAAAACGGATCGTTATATTTAAAATTTTAAAATTAATGAAATAAAATTTATCAGTTTACCGTAAATGCAATCTCTGCCTACAATTTAACGAGATAAATCATACACAGGGAAAAATTCTATGAATTTAGTCACACCCATACCACGCGCGGTGCACCGGAAGTGCGGAAAACCAGCGCAGGCTGCGTGTGTGTATGTTAGTTTGGTCGGTTGTCTGCAACAGAGCGCGCGATTGCACGTGTCTATTTCGGTCCTCCTCAGTCGGTTCAAACGTGTCCCGCCGGCGAAGCAAGGTCTGCGCGCCGCTGCTGGAAGGGCGCGTATTGATTGCGAGCTTGGGCAGGGGTGACGTAGCCGCACCGAACACACCACCACCCTCGGACCAATGGCGCGCGCGTGACGTCACCCCACAGCGTATGGATCGCCCCTGCCGTTAGGCAACCACTGCAGCAGTCGACGGTGCCGGTGTCCCTCCCGCGAACCACGCGATGCCTTTCCTCGGCTGACCACCCCTGTCCTGTGCCCGCTCAGGTCGTTCTTCGCTTTGGACGAAGGTTTTGCCGATTTTTGCTCACCACGGAATCCACAATGGAGAAGGAAGAGTCTTACTTTGGTGAGTCTATTTTCGGACATTTATCTTTGGCTGAGGGGACGCTGCGAGTTTTTCCTCTTTAATTTGCATTCTCGTTTGAAGCACTAATAGTGCTAACCGAAGCGCGCTTTATTTTCGGTCGGGGCCTGTGAACAGGAATTTTAGTGAATTATAAGAAAGAAACGGGGGAGGTAGGTGGTTCACCTCGCTCAGATCAATTGTTCGCCAAATAATTGGCGTACGTGGTGCTTCGACCGGTATAAAACTTCTCTTATTTAAAAAAAATATTTGTATAAAATAATTTTAAGTTAAGGTAATTTAATGGTTAAATATTAATAAATAATTATTAAAATTCTTCCAATTAAAGAAGCTTTTATTTTTATGGATTTTTCTTTTAATTGCATTAAGTCAATAAAGAGCCTTTTTTACTTAACAATTTGATAATCAACGCCAACACATGCACGGCTTCTTTCATAAACACCAAGGAGAAGGTGTATATTTGTATAACAGTCTCTCAGGTAGACCAATGCTTGAAAAATAAAAAATGCCTCCGCTAAAATGAGCCCAAACCAGCCTTTGATCTAAGTTTCAATGGAAAAAAACTTGAAAGCATATTCGAAAAAAGATGACCATTTTAATATTTACATTAAATTTGTCCTTTAAAAAAAGATTAATTCAATAAAAAAATCATCAGATTTTCATTTATTTAAATTATTATTTGTTTATGAGGCACCAGTTTAATTTTGGAGAATTAATTAGGAATTAATCCTTCAAAGGGCCGACTACATAAAGCCGGTGCTCTGCGCGACATGACAGACGCGGCTGCCGGTCGAAGCACCACATGGTCGCTAATAGAAGGCCGCAGAGCTAGATGGCATGGAAACGTACACCGGCGAACAAACCAGAACGGTGTCGCCACAGCTTCTGATTAAAAATTCACCCACTGAATGGAAATTTCTGATCCGCTTTAAAACTTGCACAAATTGTGCCCATATTTTAAAAATAAAATAAAAATTTATTTTTCAATTATAAAATCAAATTTATTTGTGAGTTAAAAATGTCAATACTTTCAATAAATTATCTATTCATATTTTGAATGAGTTAAAAAGTGATATTAAATTTTTATGCTAACTATGAAAGAGGTTTTTTTTATAATACACGTTTGATATCTCTATAATTATGCCATACTATTTGGTTTTTGGATTTTTTTTAAGCATTGAAATAATGTAAATAAGCACAACGTGACTAAGTATCTTTTTTGCAAGTTTTGAAGTTTCTGTATCCAAAATCAAAGGTCCCATCTTTCTATACGCCTTGATTAAATATTTTCACAATCCATTTATGACACGCTAAATCAATGTCTTCTTATTTTATTCTCAATATCAAAGGTTCATTTATAATTGGCTTCCTGATAAGTAGCAGAAAAAAAAACAAATAATTCGAGTCTGTTTTCCTCAGATTCGCAGCTGCATGATTTGTTTATCTGCATTGGCTTTTGATCGCACATATAAACACTCGCTATTTGATAAATTTATATAGTTGACAGAAAATTTCGTTTTGGTTATGTTTGGTAGCAGCCACGGCGAGCAAGAGTCGCTTCGAATAATTTGCACCCCGCGCGTCAAGACCAGAAGCGTCGAGAGAAAAATTTCCCCTTCTTGGTCTAAATGCCTATAGTCAGTAAGTGCAAAACGTTTTCAAAGTTCGTTTACTGTATTGGCGTGTGTCATGGTTTTCATTTTTGAATTGTGCATGCTCACGTCGTTTGTGTCGTTTTTGGCTTGAGAAAAGTAGGATCAATATAGTTTTATTTATTTTTTCTCCGCATTCATTATGTAACATTTTTTGCGCATTAAAAAAGTGTAAAATCATTACAATTTTATTAAATGATTTCATTTGAACAGTATAAAAGAATAAATAATCTCGTTGATTGAGGATGGGGATGAATAATTTAAACCTCTAATTTAAATATGTTTCAGCTAGAAATTTTAGTTTGTATGATAATTTTAATTTGGAACGCTCAAATTATAAACGTTTGCTACATTAATAAGTAAAGTTAAATATATTAAAAAAAAATTCTCGAGTTAAAATTGAGATTCAATGCTTTGATTAAAACTAACGTTGATGACGTGGTGCTAGGTGACGCGTTTTTTGCTAACGATTATCAACTTCAATCCTTTTTAAACTGACAATGACTCATAAAGTTTTGTGATATAATTTTTGGTAAATTTTTTAAATATTTCTTAGCTTTGTTAATAATTCTTGGAATATTTATATTTATGTATTTATGCATTTATTTTCTGCATCTCGATTTTGGTTGATACGTCCATGTACTCTGTTAACTGATAGCTAAAAAGTAAAAATTAAATTATCAGGTTCAAATTCACTGTGCAACTAGGCCTAGTCTAAATTTTGTCCCTTGGAATAAGTTTGATCAGATTCTTAATAACATCCTTTGGTTTGGTAGCATTTCAACCGTGTATTTTGATTAATTTGGAGTTGGCAAGTTATTTGGTAAATAAATTATAAAAAAATAAGTTTTTTTTAATTCATTAGTTTCATTACAATTTACAATTGCATGTAAAACTTAGTCATTTTTAAAACAACAAAGCTCTTGACCAGCTATTGACAATTAAATTCTGTATTAAATTTATTTTCAATTCTCCTTATATAATAAGCAATGTACAATCAGTCAAAACCAGGTCAAAACTTTAAAATCAGTATATATTGCGTGCCATATATTGTTTTACGTATTTCTCTGCATAATGTTCCACAATTTTTGAAGAAAAATTTAAATAGTGCAGAATATTTAAAATTCATTTCCAAGCCAAAAATTTATATAAATTGTTATTCATAGGAAAAATATTCTAATCTTTTGAATCAAAAACCTTGATTTAAAATGATATAGGTTTTATTTTTTTTTATTCTTTTCAACTATAATTTAAATTTTTAGTAAATAATAACCTACTTTTAACAAGCCCGCTGTCGTTTCAGTGGACTTTTTACTGTATGATTACCATTGTAAATTGATTTGCATTTAATTATTTACTTTTCTTCTCGCGCAAAAACTCGCTCCCGAATTCCGCTTGACAACATCAACAAAAAGCAGCTCTTTTGATTAATCGATAGGCCGAAATTATTTCTTCACTGGTACCGCTGGTCGACCCGGTAGTATAATCAGACACGCGATGCCGCCGAATGCACACGTGGAAACTACATTTAAACTCTGCTGGGATAATACACAATGGACCTTTGTTGCGCGCCTAGACGGGCAGGTTGTTCGATTCGCTCGCTGCTCTCTCGCGCGTCGACAACATAGAAAATCGTGTGCTTCCACTCTATTAGTCATTACCGGCGGCTGGGCAGGTCATTGACTTTCTCGACTTGCATGCTTTTATAAATGCACTGACTGAGAGTGTGTTTTTTTTTATCACTCGCTCTCCGATTTGGGTTACTCGTTACTCTCCGCGTCGAGACATTTTTCAATTATTCGATTTCGAGCCGTCTGTTCCCCTTTTGTCCAATTTTCTTTTCAGCACTACTGACTGACTGACTGACTGAGACGATTGGATTTGCTAACGGGTTTTGAAATTGATCGTGCAATGGGCGTGACTATGTCTTTGCTAGCTCCAGATATTGGGGATTGTTACCAGGGCAGCGCTGTTTTAATTTAAAAAAGTTATATAGTCGAGGGGAAATTTTCCAGAATTATAGATAGATAAGCCGTTTAGAAAGTTTGTCGGCGAAAAGTTCAATGGATTGGTCTTTCCCGGTAGTTTCAAATATTTTAAATACTATTTAAAAATATCTTATGCTTCGGCTAATAGTTTGGAGAAATGTTAAAACTAACTATTTTAACGAAAATTTCAAATGAAATTGCAAAAAATATAAAAATTGAAAAAAAAATCAACTTGACCGATCCTTGTTTATAAACAATTCTTATAGAATTAAACAATAACAATCTCTTTTCATAACGTAAACATAAAAAACTCATATCTATCTCAGATTAGTTGGTTTTCTCATGTGAACCATCCGGAAAAATTTCTAATTTACATTAAATTAATTTATAGCATTAATTATTTAATATAGTCTGAACTCACCATGGCTAGCAACAATAAAAGTTTCTAAATTTAATTCATTCTAATTTCATCAATTTCTCTCATTTTGTCTAGAATTAATTATATAGCTTTGTTTTTGTTTTTGTGTGTGTTTATTTGAGAAAGTTTTTGTCATTATAGGGAGTTACGAGTTCGATTGCGAAGCTCGAGGGAATTATTGATCCGTTAAATTGAATTCTCTCATCACCGCTCGTAATTCCCAAGTCTGCATTTTTTGCACTTTGGCAAGTAGTTTCCACGCCATATTGTTTGTAGAAAAGCTTTCAACTGTCATGAGAGTGAGGATCAATATTATGCAAAGGCAGCAAAAGCAAACGTGCTTCATTCGCTCCGTCGGCTCTCCATTTATGAATAATAAGTAAGGCGAGCCAATATTCCTCCCCTGGAGAGCATAAGTTTAGAAGGCCTTTTGACCAAAAAAGAATGAAGCACAGGCTACACTCCAATAATAATTGTAAGCAGTACATAATAAAAATTGCAATTTTAAAAGTTAAAATCTTTAAAATGAAAAGCATCTTTTAATAAAAAGAAAAAAAACTACATTGAATTTAAAGTTTGACGGAAATATTGGTTTGAAAGTTTTTCAATTTGGTACAGTTGGTAATTTTAATCAATTTTAGTTTGCTAAAAATTGAAAAAACAAAATTCTTTAAGGAAATTAAATTTTTTTTACCAATATTTACAAATTGAATTGAACTTTTTGGGATGTCTCCAATTTGATAATACAAAAAATAATCTCATACATTTTCCTGGCTGAATTTATTCTCGGTCTCAATTTTTATTTTACAATTCATGAAAGTGATAATAATCATTTTAAATGATTTCTATTCAAGGAGTTCAGGATTATGTATAACGCCCACTCGTTGAAAGTCTATGCAAGCGATTTAATTAATTAAAGTTGCATAAATTAAACATGATTAAGCTCGCATGAGTTAAATTTTACGTGAGCATTAACCATAATCACAGCGTAATTAGTGGCATAAATTGACACTGCGGCGGTTGACAGTAGAAAACTTGACCACACTACAATTTTTTGCTTTTAGCATAGAGTATATGAACCAGGATATCTGCGACATACTAATTTATGTGCGCTAATAACGCTCTCATTTTGTGCACGAGTCTTACCTCTCTCTTGTGTGCAGAGTGCATTTACAGCACAAGAGATTAAGCAGCTCTTGTTAATAATTCAGCGCGTCACCGCAGCAGCAGAACAATATTAAAATAAAATCGGCCTCAAATTATTTGTGCTCAAAGAACATCAACTTTCTCTTTGTGGAAAAGAAATTTAAAATCTTTGGTAATTTTTCCCCGCGATCCTGAGCAAAAATTGACTTAATGGGATCGCTTCTTTATACACACAGGATGTCAAAGTGTGATTATGATTTCAACCTTTTAATGCTTGATTTTTTTTTTAATTTTAAGTGTTGTCCAGAACTTTTTAATTATTATTTTTTTGATAGCATTCGATCAGAATAATTTTCAATCCATTGGTGCTCATGTCAGGATCCTTAGGAAGAATCGCCTTATTGAAATGGGAATTCGTCTTGGAAATTTATAGCACCTCATCCAAGATATAAATCAGGAGTGAATTTCTTTGCATGCACATCAGACGTCGTGTAAACCACTTTTGCTACCCACGTAAAATTTTTCAAGTTCAAAGATGATTACAGATGATTGCTGTCTTACGTGCAGAACAGAAATTATTATTTATTGCCCCGTTTAAAAAATTTGCATTCAAATTAAATCGGTACATAAAGATGATAATATTGAAGTTCCACAAGTAATTTCAATAAATTCATTTTATAAAGGATTTTTGTTTGGAACAGATGGTTGAATTTTTTTCACCAACTTTTAATTAATTCCTTTTTCCTTTTTCGCTGATAGAAATTACATAAATGGTGATGGCAAACGTGACTAGCGGCATGCGCACATTTATTTTTCTTTTGTATGCAGAAGATTAATCGCCGACGCTCACTTCACTTTTCGCGCGAGAACCAAAATAAAAGTCATTCTGGAGCAGCTGTTGGTCGTAAAGTGTTGCAAAAAAAATTATGCACAACACAGCAGCACCTCGCCTCGTTAGTCCAATGAGACACGTAAATTACTGAGCCTTATAAATGAGATGCACTAAAACACTGAATTATTTTGAAGTTTATGAAATTTATTATTTCTAATATTAGCTTACACTCTTGTTCATTTCCAAGAATGATTTTATTTGGTGTTTTTACTGTGAAAATAATGCTAATTTTCAATGTCAATTTGGTAAGTGAATATCATTCTGGTATTATTTATTTATTATTAAATTATTTAGTAGTTTCAAACAGGCCAGCAATGTTTAAGTCAACTCAAATCAAATTTCTATATCATGCTTAACACATAGTTTCTATTAATTAAAAATATGACTCAAATTAGTATTTTGTTTTATATTAAGTCATTAGAAATACGATCGTTACATAAAAATAATAAACAATTTAAATTAAAACAAAAATTGTAAATTGCATAAAAAATATTTAAATTTGAAGAAAAAAAATTTAAAAATATAAAATAATGATATGGATATTT